TCCAATTTTGGCTCACTGCAACCTCTGCCTCCTGGGTTCAAGCCATTCTCCTGCTTCAGACTCCTGAGTAGCTGAAATTACAGGTGCCTGCCACCGTACCTGGCTAATTTTTTGTATTTATTAATTTAGTAGAGATGGAGATTTGCCATGTTAGCCAGGCTGGTCTCGAACACCTGACTGCAGGTGATCCGCCTACACTGGCCTCCCAAAGTGCTGCGATTACAGGGGTGAGCCACTGTGCCCGGCCTATTTTACTTTATTTTTGAGATGGAGTTTCACTCTGTTGCCCAGACTGGAGTGCAATGCCACAATCTCGGCTCACTGCAACCTCCGCCTCCTGGTTTCACCATGTTGGTCAGGCTGGTCTCAAACTTTTGACCTCAGGTGGTCCACCCTTCTTGGTCTCCCAAAGTGCTGGGATTACAGGTGTGAGCCACCATGCCTGGCCACGGGGTAATTCAGAATAGTCTGTAGCACTGGCTGGGCGCAGTGGCTCAGGCTTATAATCCCAGCACTTTGGGAGGCTGAGGCGAGTGGATCACCTGAGGTCAGGAGTTCGAGACCAGCCTGGCCAACATGGTGAAATGCTGTTTTTACTAAAAATACAAAAATTAGCCAGGTATGGTAGCGAATGCCTGTAATCCCCGGAGGCTGTGGCAGGAGAACTGCCTGAACTCCAAAAGTCGGAGGTTGCAGTGAGCAGAGATCACACCATTGCAATCCAGCCTGGGTGACAAGAGCGAAACTCCGCCTCAAAAAGAAAGAAAGAAAGAAAGAAACAGGACAGGTGCAGTGGCTCATGCCTGTAACCCCGGCACTTTGGGAGGCTGAGGCAGGTGGATTATCTGAGGTCATGAGTTCAAGACCAACCTGACCAACATGGTGAAACCCCATCTCTACTAAAAATACAAAATTAGCTGGATGTGGTGGTGGGCACCTGTAATCCCAGCTACTTGGGAGGCTGAGACAAGAGAATTGATAGAACCCAAGAAGTTGAGGTTGGAGTGAGCAGAGATTGTGCCACTGCACTCTAGCCTGGGGGACAGAGTGAGACTCCATCTCAAACAAACAAAAAAAACCACAAAAATTAGCTGGGTGTGGTGGAGTGTGCCTGTAATCCCAGCTACTTGGGAGGCTGAGACAAGAGAATTGTTTAAACACGGGAGGCCAAGGTTGCAGATTGCACCACTGCCCTCCAGGCTGAGCAACAAAGAGCGAAACTTCATCTCAAATAAAGAAAAAAAAAAAAGAAACAGAATAGGCTATAGGGTTAGCATCTGCAGGAGAGAGACTACAAGGAGGGAAATGGATTCTCTGACCTTTCCTGATAGCTTAGCTTAGAAAGGGCTGAGCTCTTCCAGCCAAGAACTTTTGTGTTCCCCTGTCCTGTTCCCTCCAGTTATGCTTCTCCACAGAACGCAGACCAGGGAGGAGTCCCAGCTTTGGCACCCACTTGCTGTGTGATGTGGGAACTTAGCCATGTTACTTGACCTCTCTGAACCTTGGTGTCTTCCACTGTACGTAGGATAAAGCTGTTTGTTTGGTGAAGATTCGAGGTAACATTTGAAAGTGTCTTTACAGCCAGTTGTAGTGGCTCACGCCTGTAATCCCAGCACTTTGGGAGGCCAAGGCGGGCGAATCACCTGAGGTCAGGAGTGTGAGACCAGCCTGACAAACATGGTGAAACCTGGTATCTACTAAAAATACAAAAAATCAGCCAGGCATAGTGGTGCATGCCTGTAATCCTAGCCACTTGGAAGGCTGAGGAAGGAGAATCACTTGAACCTTGGAGGCAGAGGTTGCAGTGAACCGAGACTGTGCCACTGCACTCCAGCTTGGGCAACAAGAGCAAAACTCCATCTCAAAAAAAAAAAAAGTGTCTACAGACTTCCTGGCACATAGCAGGCATTCATTGTTACTGTGGGCTCACTGAGGGTAGGGAATGATTTATTTCTAGATTTTAAGGGCCCACCAAGGGGTAGGCAGACAGTGGAGTATGGAAAAATATATATAGTAACTACAGAATACTGAACTTGCAAACAGATTCAGATTAGGTTTATTAGAAAGGGCCTGGAGCTGTCTTTTCAGGACCCTTTCAGAGCAACCATTTCAAGAGACCTTTATCCCTGAATAAGGAAAGAATGAAGGCAGGTTTTCTGGGAGGAAAGAGAGGGGTGGATCTGAAGAAGACTGCTCCTATTTAAAGCAAAACTAATCAATTAGTGGGGACTAGATATGCCTCATTGTCTCAGTCACAAAGTTACATGTGTGGATATCCAAGAGAGGGCAATTTAAAAAAGACAGAGAAATGTGACAAGGTTGGAAGGAAATCAAAGTGACAGCAAGGTCAATCAGGGAAGTGGGAGATAAAATCATGACAAATTAATAATGAGTTTTCAAAATTGAGGGAGACAATTTTGAACTCTGGATTTATAAGTGAAAAGGAGAAATCAAATATGATTAAGTTGGAGATAAACCAGTCATGCATGGACTCCCAGACCAAACAGCAGCTTGTTGGTCCAATAAAAATGAACACACCCACTGAGTTAAGAAGGTGGAGGTTTTGACAAACAACTTGGTCATGGCTTTCTAATACAAATTAATCTGAATGCCTGCAACTGCCTTCTATACCAGGCTTTGGTTTAAAACCAACTGGGAAGTAAGAGAGTCAAGCCTTGGTGGGCTGGGTGGGCCAGATGGCCTTCCTGCTCTCCTCACCTAAGATCTGGACTCCCATTCTGTTCAGAAATGACTGTGACCCATGTTGGGTGGGGTCATTTGGGATCAAATGAGGCAGGAGAAGGCAGAAGATAGAAAAGCAGCCATACTGAAGGGCAGGCATCAGTAAGCTGCAGGTTTTGCCTGGCCTAAGCAATGAAAGATATTTTAAATTTTAAGAAATAAAGGACTAGTCCATCACTCAAGTAACACAACAGTGGCTGCCAGTGTGATACAGTAGAAAGGGCCCCAAACTGAGAGTCATAAGGTCTAGCTTTGTGACTTTGAGACAGCACCTCCCTGAGCCTCAATTTTCCTCATCTGGGAAGTGGGGAGAATACCCTCTAGGACTGTTCATGAAATAAGATGATGTCAACATGCTTCGTGAGCACTCTGCGAATGTCGGGTAGAATTCTTGTCATGGATGGTTATTACCTGGTCATCTCAAACAAGAAACTGCCAGATGTGTACACCTCTCCCTGCAGCCTGTCTAGCCCCAGATTTGGAACAAAGCATCGTCTCAAAAACAAAAGGGTTTGTGCACATGAGGTCCCAAAGCAAGAGGAGAGAGGCTGGCCTCACCTGACGTGCTGAAGCTATTTATAACTCAACAGTGACAGCCACAGGGATGGGAGCGTCAGAACACACAGAGGAAAAGAAGAGAAATGGGATTTTAAAAAGGAAAATCCATTCCTCAGGCCAGACAACTCTCAAATGCCTTTCCCTTTCCCAAACCCTGAAATACCTGATGGCTCTTGGAAATGCAAAGGTCTCACACTCCAAGTATACCTCAGTGTACCGACAATCCCACCACAGGCGGCCCTCCTGCCACTCCATGAACCCCATCTCCCAGGGCGAAAAACAAGGCCAGACCTGCTTTCCACATATGCCCTAGGGACCTTCGTGGCCTAGGCAAGAAGATGAAGCTCAGTCCTGCCACTGTGGCCCCAGAGTCTAGGGTCAGCTAGAATCAACCAGGCGAAGGGCCTTGTGGCCTCATCTGACCCTCATCCCTTCCTGTTTGGCCCAAAACTCCCCTCCCAAGGCACCCCACGCCCCTTGCCCACACCCCTCCCCCACCCACTCAGCAGCAGCCCCCTCGACAGAAAGCCTCCCGCATGGACCTAGCAGCTGGGGCAACTCACACCCAGGGAGGAAACCAGGTCTCCCCGTGGGAAACGCCATGTACGGTGACAATAGACCTGTGCTTCCTAAACTTTGATGTACTTAGAATAATAATGGAGGTGTGGTGGGTTGCTCCTTAACATGCAAGACCCCTGTCCCGGCGGCCGCAGAATGGGTGGGGCCCAGGAACCGGCATTTTAAACAGGCATCCCGAGTGACTCCGATGCAGGCGGCCTCGGGGGAGGGGCCCTGAAGCGTCATTTAAGTGATTGCTCCCGATCCCCTTCCGCCTCCTCAAACACCACCACTCACCCTCTCCCGCCAGACCCACTGTTTCAGCTCACCCCTGACCCTCTGTCCCCAGCCCCCTGGCCTCGTCCTCCAGATTCCTGGTCATCCCGGCCCCATCCCCCTCCGCTGGACCACTGCTCCCTGACCCCAAGCCACCCCGGCCCCGCCCTCACGATGCCCCGCCCCTGCAGAAGTCCCGCCCCCAGGCCCGCGCGGACCACCACCCCGCCCTCACCTAGGCGCGACTCGCGCGGGGGGTTCTCCATCAGCTTCTTCAGGACCAGGGGGAAGGAGCCCGACAGGCCCCTTTCCCCAGCTGCGCGCCCCGGCCCCGGGCCGGGTCCTGCCTGCGGCTCCACAGGCGGCTTCTTTCCGCCGCCCGCGTCGGACATCGTGCCCTGGACTCAGCTCGCGCGCCTCGCTTCCCCCGCCCGCCCCCGAGATGGGCCGGAGCCTTGCGACCCGCTGCAGCTGCCGACACGGGCAGCTACTGCGCAGGCGCCCAGCGGCGCCCCCGCCTCCCTCCATCGCTACCCCGCCTGCGGACCGGCTCTGATACATTAATTATTCATGAGGCCAGGCCAGCTTCCCGGGATCGCGGCTCTGGATTGGCCCAGCCTGCGAGAGGGGCAGCCACAGCTCCTCGGGCCGCGATTGGTCGGGGCAGCCCGGCTAAGCAAGACACGTGCGGGGCCAGGTGAGGACCCCCGCGGAGGCCCCGCCCCGCCGCCCCTGTGTCCCTTGATTGGCGCCTGGTGGACGTGGGCCTTCCTCGGCGAGGTCCCTTCCTTCCTACTAGTGTCCCTGCTTCACCGCTGTCTTCATAACCTCTGCCTTCCCGACCACCGCAGCCTCTCCCGGTCGTCCCTGTCTCCCAACCTTCCCGACGCGCTACCGAACCAGGGCGGGGCTCGGAGCGGCGGCCGGCCAGAGGGACCTATCCGAGCTTCCGCTGGCTCGGCGTGGACGTCCCCCCGCGGGTCACGTGGAGCCGCAGCTGAGTCTGGTCGCGTGGGGAGGGGGCAGAGGAGGAAGGCGCGGGAACAGCCAATGGAGGGCGGGGGCGGGGCCCGGGGCGGTGCACGAGGCGCCGCACGTGCGGGGCTGCGGCGGGGCAGTAGGGGAAGGGAGGGACGGGCGTTTTTGTTCTGGGGACTCTGGCCAGGGTCGCGGGATTGGGACGCAGAGCCCAGCTCTCACTTCTGCTCCCAAGCGACCCAGAGGTTTCCTGAGGGCAGGACCGGGAATCCGGACCTGCCGAGATGTAGGGATGGCCCCAGCAGGCTTGGCCGCCAGAGCTGGGTGTCGGGTTGCCCGAGGCTCCAGGGTTTCGGTGCGGGCGGGCGTGGCTGCCAGATAAACACTAGCGTGGAGGGAGCATTCCTGAGGCCCCATCCTGAGCCAGGGCCCGGGTACATGCTTCCGCCCTCCCACTTACTAGCTTGTGACCTTGGGAAAGTCCGGTTGCTTCACTGGCGCTTGTTTCCTAGGCCATAAAATTAAGAGGTTGGGCTACAGAATCTCTACAGTCTCAAACAGCTGTGAAATTCTGTTCCTTTCTGGGACTCTCCCTTCCTTTACCTGAAAAACAAAAACCTCCTTAACACCAGATACCGATCCCACATTTTGTGGGAGAACCATCGCCTGTCTTAAAATGTAAATCCTCCTCAGGAGTTCCGTAGGAATCTGTAAAAATGTAATACGTGGAGCGGTACACAAATGCAAAGTTGCTCCTAAACAGCGCTCAGAACTTTGTACCTCTTAATAGTACAAGTCAGACTGTGCTGCAAACCCAGGCAACACTAGACTCCCGGCTTAACTCCCGGAAGGCAGAGAGCTTGGCTTGTTTATCCAGCATCCCAGCAGGGGCCCACCCCTTCTAGCAGGAGGGCTTTAGGGGGTGGCAGAGTGGTAGTCCTTGGTTCAGGGGGTAGATGGATGATCCAGACACCCACAGCCAGCTAAAAGTTGTCAAGCTGATGCAATCAGAATTTTGCTAGGGCTGGGCGCGGCGATTTACGCCTGTAATCCCAGCACTTTGGGAGGCTGAGACAGTCGGATCACCTGAGGTCAGGAGTTCGAGACCAGCCCGGCCTATAGGGCAAACACTACTGTAAGTACTAAAAGAATTAGCTGGGCGGCTAATAGGTGGGGGCGCCTGTAATCCCAGCTATTCGGGAAGCTGAGGCAGGAAAATAGTTTGAACCCAAGAGGTGGAGGTTGCAGTGAGCCGAGATAGCACCACCGCACTCAAGCCTGGGCGACAGACAGAGGGAGACGAGACTCCATCTCAAATAAATAAATAAATAAATAAAGGCCAGGCACAGTGGCGCACATCTGTAATCCCAGCACTTTGGGAGGCTGAGGCGGGTGGATCACGAGGTCAAGAAATCCAGACCATCCTGGCCAACATGGTGAAACCCCGTCTCTTAAAAAAAAAAACAATTTCATAAAAAAATAGAATAATTTTGCTGGGGGTTGAGGAGGAAAAAGAAGTTGGGTAGCTGACCAGGCCTGGAAAGCAAGAGATTTGAAGGACTTTGAGTGGTGGTAGGGACATGTGATGAGTCTGATTCCACAATTTAAGCTCTCACTGCTACTCTAATTGAATCTCAGTCATTTTCTGAATCTGATGCCTCAGTTGCTTTACATCTTCAATTTTATGCTTTACATCTTTTCCTTTTATGTCAAATGGAGTTAGGGCAGGCTCTACCTTATGGTTTTCTTTTTCTTTTTTTGGAGGGGGGCACGGGTGGACGGAGTTTCCCTCTTGTTGATCAGGCTGGAGTGCAATGGAGCAATTTCCACATACTGCAACCTCCACCTCCCGGGTTCAAGCGATTCTCCTGCCTCAGCCTCCTGAGAAGCTGGGATTATAAGCGTGCACCCCCACACCTGGCTAATTTTTTTGTATTTTTAGTAGAGATGGAGTTTCATTCACCATGATGGCCAGTCTGGTCTCAAATTCCTGACCTCAGGTGATCAACCCACCTCAGCCTCCCAAAGTGCTGGAATTACAGGTGTGAGCTACTGCGACCGGCCTACCTAATGAGGTTTCTGCAAGCCAATTTGTATAGATGCACAGTTGCAAACCTTCAACAAATGTAGTTTTCATAATTTTACTAAAACTGGTTGGCATATCTGTTATCCCAGAGGCTGGTATGGTGCTTGTATCACTCACTGTAGTCAAAATAGTTAATCGCGTACAGAAAATCTGTTGTGTTGTAGAATTTAGTGAGAGTTCTGTGTGTGGCTAAACTTTCAGGGAAGCTAAGCTAGACAAAGGGCATTCCAAGGAAATTGATTAAAGCAATACAGTGGTTGGGCGCAGTGGCTCACGTTTGTAATCCCAGCGCTTTGGGAGGTCAAGGTACACAGAGCACCTGAGGTCAGGAGTTCGTGACCAGCCTGGCCAACATGGTGAAACCCTGTCTCTACTAAGAATACAAAAATTAGTGGGTATGGTGGCAAGTGCCTGTAACCCCGGCTACTTGGGAGGCTGAGGCAGAAGAATCTATTGGCCCAGGAGGAGGAGGTTGCAGTGAGCTGAGATCATGCCACTACACTCCCGCCTGGGCAACAGAGCAAGACTCTGTCTCATACACACACACACACACACACAAATATATGAAGCTTTTTAAAAAAACTGCTAATTTGGCAATGGGGAGATTTGATGGCTTAGAGTCATGTATATGTAGTCTCATGGCTAATATGACATTATTGCTGGGAAGAAAAACCCATTCTCAAAGTATTAGATGATGATTAATGATAACAGTGGAAGGTTATAACACGTGTTTATGAGAAAGATGGGCTGTAGTAAGAGGAAGTAAAGATTTAGCTTTTCTTTTTTTAGCTATCGTTATTCTAAATGAATAATGCCTACTCCACTTATCTCCTATTGGAGCAATTACCCTAACAGGCAAGTGAGGCTGGTAAGAAGTGAAACCAGCAGGTTAAGCCTCCAGAACCTGGTGTTCATGTGCTGACACTCCCCAGAGAGGGTTTTCCCCCGGATAACCAGAGGGTAAATGATGTGTCACAAATACTGCAGGAGCATTGCAAACACGTTCTCTGTCGTGCTTAATTGCAAGCTGCGAGGTTAGCTACATTGCCAACTTGCAGCATTAAACAGTGCCGTCCTGGAGGTGGGAACGGTTACGTTCTCCTCTTCATCCTCCACCACAGCAGCCTCTCTCTACGTTTGTCTCCTGTCACTAAAGTGGGAATAATGGCGTGACCTTGCGCAGTCTCTTAGTGGAGGAATAAATGTTGGGAGAAGTAGTTACAGTTTGTGAGCCCTACAAAGAAGTAAACCCCATAAGAAGAACATGTTATTACACGATTAAGACTTCAAAGGCTGAGATATTAGAGAGGCTTTTCTGGGGGAAAAAGAAAAAATAAAGGTATGATGTGGAACAGTGGCCTAGGCTGGGCAACAGAGTGAGACCTCATCTCTACAAACTCTAAAAAATTAGCCTGGTGTGCTCTCTTCAGCAGCACATAAATACTAACATTGGAATGATACAGAAAGAATTTCCACCGCACCTGTGCAAGGATGACATGCAAATTCATAAAGTCTTCCATTTTTTCAAAGAAAAATTAGGCTGGGTGCAATGGTTCACGCTTGTAATCCAAGCACTTTGGTAGGCTGAGGCGGGTGGATCACAAGGTCAGGAGTTCAAGACCAGCCTGGCCAAGATGGTGAAACCCCTTCTCTACTAAGGCTGGACTCAGTGCCTCACACCTGTAATCCCAGCACTTTGGGAGGCCGAGGTGGGCGGATCACAAGATCAGGAGTTTGAGAACATCCTGGCCAATATGGTGAAACCCCATCTCTACTAAAAATACAAAAATTGGCCAGGCTTGGTGGTGCGCACCTGTAGTCCCAGCTAGTCAGGAGACTGAGGCAGAAGAAAAATCACTTGAACCCAGGAGGCGGAGGTTGCAGTGAGCCTAGATTGTGCCACTGCACTCCAGTTTGACAACAGAGCGAGACTCTGCCTTAAATATATATATATATTAGGTGCGATGGCAGGCGCCTGTAATCCCAGCTACTCGGGAGGCTGAGGCAGAAGAATCGCTGGAACCCGGGTCGAGGTTGCAGTGAGCCGAGATTGAGCCATTGCACTCCAGCCTGGGCAACAGAGAGAGACTCCATCTCAAAAAAGAAAAATTAGCTGGGCATGGTGGTGCACCTGTAGTCCCAGCTACTCAGGAGGCTGCAGTGGGAGGATCACTTGAGCCCAGGAGATCAAGGCTGCAGTGAGCCATGATTGTGCCGCTGTACTCCAGAGAGACCCTGTCTCAAAAAGAAGCAAAAAACAAACAAAACCACAGTGGTTTATTTAGGGAACTGGGGGTCATGGGGCAGCAGTGACTTTGTGAGCAAGGGAGGCAGCGTGGGGGAGTCCCTCCTCAGTTGCTGAACAAGCCACATGGCCATGGGCAAGTGACTTCTGTCTAAGCCTCGATTATTTTCCTCTTGGAAATAGAGATGGATATGCCTGCTTCACAGAACAGTTGGGAGGATTACCTGTGATGAGCGATGCCAAGTGCCAGCCTGCCGTGTTGTAGTGTGGAGTAGGTAGGTGCCCACCCCTCCCTTTTCGTTGAAGCTGTGTTGGGTCAGGAGTAGAATTATTCTGGATGTGAGGACAAGGCTGTGGGCCTGAGGGCAGGTTTAGAGTCTAAGCTACAGACAAGATTGGATGTGCAATGTCCATTTTCCAGAGTTGGACTGGCTTTACATTCTACTTATGACTGTTTCTGAAACCTGCTAATCAGCCCAAGTTAAAAACTTTGTTCAGGGCCGGGTGCGGTGGCTTACTCCTGTAATCCCAGCACTTTGGGAGGCTGAGGCAGGCGGATCACGAGGTTAGAAGTTCAAGACCAGCCTGACCAACATGGTGAAATCCTGTCTCTACTATAAATACAAAAATTAGCCGGGTGTGGTGACACTTGCCTGTAATCCCAGCTACTTGGGAGGCTGAGGCAGGAGAATCCCTTGAACCTGGGAGGCAGAAGTTGCGGTAAGCCAAGATCACATCATTGTACTCCAGCCTGAGCAACAAGAGCGAAACTCCATCTCAAAAAACAAATGAACTTTGGTCAGGCCAGGCATGGTGGTTCACGCCTATAATCCCAGCACTTTAGGAGGCTGAGGCGGGGGGATCACTTAAGGCCAGCAGTTCAAGACCAACTTGGCCAACATGGCAAAACCCTGTCTCTTTGAAAAATACAAAAATTAGCTGGGCATCGTGGCGGGTACCTTTAGTCCCAGCTACTTTGGAGGGTTAGACAGGAGAATCACTTGAACCCAGGAGGTGGAAGTTGCAAGGAGCCAAGATTGCACCACTGCACTCCAGCCTGCGCCATGGAATGACTCTGTCTCAAAACAAAAACAAAAACTTCGTTCAGTTGCGCATATGCAGAACAAATGATTTTCATTAAGCCATTTTGCTAGTTTGGATTATTTTTACTTAAACTTGAAGTTTGGAGGAGCTAAAACTCCAGCACAGGAGCCTTTGACCAGATACCCTATAATGATCTCTTTGGCCATGTATTCAGCACCAGATAGAACAGCCTCACTCTGTCTTCTGACTTATTGAAAATGGGACAAAGGCCTCAGATGCATGAGAGCAGAAGGGTGATAAGGCTTCTTCCATTGAGCTCTCAGAAAGCCCGGTTATCTGTGTCCTTTGCCCAAATCAAATGCAGGAGAGCACAATGCTTTCCTCAGAGTAGTAACTCAGCAAAAATATACTTTTTTTTCTTTTTTAAAAACTCCCATCCCCTCAGTAAATATTTTTTGGTTTGCTTTGTTCTTGGTGCCAGTAGGACAGTTTAACCAAACCTTTCGGAGCTAAGTCATATGCATTTGGAGCATTAGTAACGTTAAATAACAGTCATTGTGTCTGATTCACAATTGAACCTGGAACAGCAAACATGAGCCATCCTTTGGGAAGTCTGTCCGCACAAGCCTTGCCAGCAGCTCTCCTTCCTAGCCCACATACCTGTGCCTGGGCTCTGTGGTTTGCACCTTGGTCTCAGTGTGTTCCAGGGGAGAAGCAGTGGGTGGAAGCTCTTTACTGATTCTTGCCCCCCTCGCCAGTACTCCCAGAAGTACTCGCTTCCTGTTTGTCTTGCATTCTGTCCGTTACCAGGGTTTGGTCTGCAAATGGAGAGCTGCTCTAAGAATGCCCTTTCCAGAGAAAGTCCTCACCTCTGCCCTCTGTGACGACTCAAAAGCCACTACCCGATTCCACGATTTCTGCAGACAAAGCCATGCTGGGGGGGACAGTGGTGGGACTCTGGAGCAAGACCACCTGGGGCTGATCCCTGCTTTTACTTTAGTCGGCCTTTGAACAACAAGGGTTTGAACTGCATGCATCCAGTTACGTGTGGATTTTTTCTTCAACAAAAGTTACACTAAGTTTGCCTGCCTCTCCTGCGTCCCCTTCCACTTCTGCTACCCCTGAAACAACAAGATCAGCCCTTCTTCCTCCACCTCCTCCTCTTCCTCACCTACTCAATATGGAGACAAGGACGAAGACCTTTATAATGATTCACTTCAACTCAGTTAAGAGTAAGTGTATATCCTTTTATGATTTTCTTTTTCTTTTCTTTTTTTTTGAGACAGAGTCTGGCTGTGTCACCCACACTGGAGTGCAGTGGTACTGTCATAGCTCACTGCAGCCCTGAACTGCTTACCTCAAGTGATCCTCCTGCCCCAGCCTCTGGAGTAGCTCGGATTTCAGGTGTGCACTACCATGTCTGGCTAATTTTTAATTTTTTTGTGGAGATGGAGTCTCACTATGTTGCTTAGGCTGGTCTCAAACTTCTGGGCTCAAGCACTTCTCCCACTTCAGCCTCCCAAAGTGCTAGGATTACAGGTGTGAGCCACTGTACTCAGCCATGATTTTCTTTTCTTTTTTTTTTTTTGAGATGGAGTCCCACTCTGTTGCCCAGGCTGGAGTGCAGTGGCGTGATCTTGGCTCACTGCAACCTCCAGCTCCCAGGTTCAAGCAATTCTTCTGCCTCAGCCTCCCGAGTAGCTGGGATTATAGACATCTGCCATCAGGCCCAGCTAATTTTTATATTTTTAGTAGAGACAGCGTTTCATCGTGTTGGTCAGGCTGGTGTCAGACTCCTGACCTCATAATCTCCTTGCCTTGGCTTCCCAAAGTGCTGCAATTACAGGCATGAGCCACCGTGCCCGGCCAGTGATTTTCTTAATAACATTTTCTTTTCTTTGGCTTACTTTGTTGTAAGAATGCAGTATTTAGGCTGGACGCAGTGGCTCATGCCTGTAATCCCAGCATTTTGGGAGGCCAAGGTGGGTGGATCATGAGGTCAGGAGTTCAAGACCAGCCTGGCCAACATAGTGAAACCCCATCTCTACTAAAAATACAAAAATTAGCTGAGTATGGTGGCATGTGCCTGTAATCCCAGCTACTCGGGAGGCTGAGGCAGGAGAATCGCTTGAACCCAGGAAGCAGAGGTTGCAGTAAGCGAGGCCACGCCATTACACTCCAGTCTGAGTGACAGAGTGAGATTCTGTCTCAAAAAATAAAAATAATATAGTATATAATACATATAGCATACAAAATATTTGTTCATCAAATGTTATTTGTAAGGCTTCCAGTCAACAGTAGGCTATTAGTGGTTAAGCTTTTGAGGAGTCAGAAATTACAGGTTGGGTGCGGTGGCTCACACCTGTAATCCCAGCACTTTGGGAGGCCACGGCAGGTGGATCACGAGGTCAGGAGATCAAGACCGTCCTAGCTAATATGGTGAAACCCTGTCTCTACTAAAAATACAAAAAAATTGGCTGGGTGTGGTGGCGTGTGCCTGTAATCCCAGCTACTCAGGAGGCTGAGGCAGGAGAATTGCTTGAACCTGGGAGGCAGAGGTTGCAGTGAGCTGAGAACGTGCCACTGCACTCCAGCCTGGCGACAGAGCAAGACTGTGTCTCAAAAAAAAAAAAAAAAATTATATGCAGATTTTCTACTGCATGGGGGCAGTATCGCTAATCCCCACGGTATTTAAGGTTAACTGTATTTCCTTCGAGCTTGGGCAAATGAGTGACCCTCTCTGTGCCTGAGTGTCCAAAGTGAAGGAATCCATCTGGCACAGTGCCAGAATACCACCTGGCTGATACCATGTGCACAGTTCAAGTTAACTCTACTGTATTTCCTGCTTGGGTTGTTCTGGGGATACCTCATTTCTCCCTACCGGCCACTTCCTCAAGAATAGGGGGTGTGGGGGTCCTTACAGACAAGGAGATGACAGCATCACTCTTCTTCATGACCGTCAGGGCTCTGCAGGCACTTGCCCTTCGGGTCCCTCCAGCCTCACCCCGACTCCTCTCCCCCTTGCTTGCTTTCTGCAGCCATAGCGGCCTCTTATTCCTCAGACCCATTTTGTCTTTCCTACCCCAGGAAGGGCCTTTGCAGGTGCTGTCCCCATAGCCTGAAAGTTCCTCGGATAGCTGGCTTTTCCTCACCCTCCAGGCCTCCAGGCCTCAGTTCAAATGCCTCTCCCTGGGAGAGGCTAATCCTGACCCCCCCCACCTTGGCCCACCTACACACAGCTGATTGTCTCTCCCCACTGGAATGCAAACACCAGGGGTAAGAATAGGGTCGGTTTCCTTCATCCAGGGCTCCCCAAGCATAGCAAACACTCTGGAAGCACATGATGAATGTCTGGGTGATCAAGAGCTACTGCCTGGGACAGTTTCAGAGCCCAGGGAGCCCCAAGGGTAGTCACGAGCCTGGTGTCAGGAGGAACAGGGTTTGAATACTGCAACAACTGTATGGCCTTCCCTCTCCCAGCCTCAGTGTCCTCATTCAGAGTGCATGGATAATTATATCTCCCTTGCAGAGCCATTGCATAGATAGTGATGTAGGAGCATGCAACATAGTCCTGGCACACACTCAGGAGAAGGTGGCTGTCAAGTCAAGAGCGCATCCTGTAGCAGCCTAGCCACCTGGAAGGGCCACTCCTCAACACTGCCGTCAACGCCTGGCACTTGGTGAGAATGAATTTCTCACATTTCTCTGAAGGGGTAGGGTGGAGGCAAGTAGAGAAGAAGACTCTGGACTCCTAGGGTAGGATGGAAGAAAAGAGAGGCTGGCCCATGTACTGGCCGTGAGGGTAGCCAGTGTCTCTGAGTTCATTTTCTCACCAGAAGGACAGGAGGAATGTACCATTTAGAAGGACGTGGTGAGGAGCCGGGCGTGGGGGCTTACAACTGTAATCCCAGCACTTTGTGAGGCTGAGGTGGGCAAATGATCTGACGTCAGGAGTTTAAGACCAGCCTGGCCAACATGGCGAAACCCCATCTCTACTAAAAAATACAAAAATTAAATGGGAGTGGTGGTGGGTACCTGTAATCCCAGCTACTCAAGAGGCTGAGGCAAAAGAATTGCTTCAACCCAGGAAACGGAGGTTGCAGTGAGCCAGCATGGTGCCACTGTATTCCAGCTTGGGCAACAGAGTAAGACTCGGTCTCAAAAAAATAAACAAAAGGAGGTAATGAGGATTGAATGAGCTAGCATGTCCAGCACATAGAAGGCCCCTTCCCCATCCTCTTTCCTGAAAGCAAACTCCTCAATTTCTCAGTTTTGCTCTGGTTCCCAGGCTGTGCATGGAGGTAAACACGGCCCTTACTCAAGCCAAGCTCAGGAGAGCCCAGGCTGCACCGAGTCCACCCTCTTGGCTCATTTCCCTCAATCCACCAAGATGGTGACACCAAGGCCCCTCCTCCTGCCCCAGCAAGTCCTGCCGAGATCCTGCCTGTTATCAGGAAAATGGGCTGTGCAGGACAGATGGCACCATGCCTCTAGGAGCCTCGGCACGTGTTTCCAAGGAGACAGCTGTGTGTGTGTGTGTGTGTGTGTGTGTGTGTTTACACACCAACTTATAACATCCAGTTCTTGAAAGGAAGCTGGAAAGAAGGGAATGAGGGTCAGATTGCAAATGGGATGTAGGTGGAAGGCGCATGATGCTAGGCCACATTGCTGTTTGCCTTTCACAGAAAAAATCAGCATGACAGCTCACAGTTTGCAGACGCTTTCACATGGGATAACTCACTTAATCCTGGCAACGAGCTCATGACACAGATATTCTTTCTGCTCTTTACAGTCTGGAGTTGGAGAAAGAGGAGGGCAAGTCCCAACCAGTAGGTTGTAGAATTAGGATTCGTGTCCTGACTCTGATTGTAAGCCCCCTCCTCTCCTACCAGAGCCATGCTGCCTTGCCCAGAAAGGATTCTAGATCAGGAGTGCCCCTAGGTGGGGATGTTGCCTGCCCAGCCCAAAGCAAAGGCCTTGTTCAGGGTTCACAACTCCCTGAAAGGGAGGCCTGAGTGACCAGAGATGGCAGGAAGATGGGAGTGGGTGTCTCTAAGCACAGCCAAGGCCCCATGGAGGAGGGAAGGATAGCGTATAAAATGCTAATAGTATGATTTAGAGACACGGGGTCTTTCCAGAAGCTGGTAGAGAAAGACATGAGAGCTGGAGTGAGCAGTCTGGAACAGAATCAACTCTTGGAAGCAGATCCTTGGGAGATAGGGTGGGATTGAAGACAGGAAGAGTGGTTTTCAAGATTTAGGGCCCAAGGACATAGAGGGGAAATTGAGTCAGGGCTTGAGCTACAGACCCACCCTTTTGCTGGAAATGGATTTCTTTGCCAAAAGGGAAGTTGTTTGAACTCGTGGCCCCGAGTGAAGGCCACCAAGAGGCCATTGTCGCTGGAAGCCAAGGGAGCCTGGGAGCTGATCAGCTCTCGTGGAGAAAGTCTGTTTATCCAGGGATAAGAAAGAGGCAAGGTCTACACAGGCTGGGCTGGGAGGCCCAGGGGCAGCACAAGGCAGAGGGGCCCCAAGTCCAGGTTTCAGGGGGTGTCATTGAATTAGAAAGCAAAATGAGGCCGGGCGCGGTGCTCACGCCTGTAATCCCAGCACTTTTGGGGGCTCAGGCAGGTGGATCACTGGAGGTCAGGAGTTCGAGAATAGCCCGGCCCACATGGTGAAACCCGTCTCTACTAAAAATAGAAACATGAGCTGGGCGTGGTGGTGGGCGCCTGTAATCCCAGCTACCCAGGAGGCTGAGGCAGGAGAATTGCTTGAACCCGACAGGTGGAGGTTGCAGTGAGCTGAGATTGTACCATTGCACTCCAGCCTGGGCAACGGTGAGACACTGTCTCAAAAAAAAAAACCGAAAAGAAAATAATTGGAGTGAGAGGCTGTGTGGAGAGCAGAGTGTGGGGAGAGCACACCTGGAGTTTCTCACACTCCATGTGACTTTCCTCTATAGTTGCCTCCCACTGGGGGCGAGATATGCTCTGCATGTGACCTAAACGTGTGCTGAAGCACAACCATTGGACAGGAGAAAAGAGAAAATGGGTAGTTTGTAAACAGTCCTCCAAAGACGTAACTGCCCCTTCCACTGGACGGGAGCAGCAGAAAGTTCACCAAAGCAAGGGCACGTGGGCCTGAGAGCATCCCCGTTTTCTGGAGCACCTGGCCTCTAGTTTTTCTCCCATTCAAACCCCAAGTCAGAATAGTGGGAGAGGGAGAGAAGCCGCTTCAACAACAATTTCAGTACATGGTCCCTGATCGCAAGTAACTCCATAGCAGTTCTCTGTGTCTTTTCACCGAGGTCTATTGCTTTTCAGGTAGACATTTCTGTTTATAAATGGTCTGGAGATTCGGGCAGCTTTGGGAAACTGATTGCAGATGAGGGGCAGTCACGTGCTGCAGTCATTGTGACTCCTGTGGCTCTTCAACCCTCTTCCCTCCATTTTGCCTAGCAGTGGGCTGCAGGCATCTGTCAGTTCCACAGGACCTCATGCTTCTCACCCTCAGATGCCACATGAAGTGACAGGAGGTGACCCAAGACTGGCCTACACCCCTTGGACCTGCCCAGCCATGCTGGACTAACTAATCCTCAGCCATGGTTTCCCAGTGCTTGGCAAAGCTCTGCCTGAAATCCTGGGCGGTCCCCTATGTGCCCGGCCCTGACTTCACTCACCCACAGTGAGGGAGGGGGACTTTTTGGCTATTGGAGGGCTCTGCAGACCGGCTGGGAGCCAGAGACCAGCAGCTGCTGCCACACTTCAAAAGCTTTGTTATCCTCATCTGAGGAGCAGTGCCCCGAGTCACCCCAAGAACTCTTCCTGCCCTGCTGGCAGCCACGCACTGCATGTGCATGCTAGGGGGCATCCTGGGACACCTGGTGGGAGCAAGGAGGGATTGTGCCATCCTTCCTGGGTTCCTGGACCAAGGAGCCTACCCTCTACCTTAGCTTTTGGAAAGCTCTGCCCATCCATACAGGCCGCTCAGAGATGCCAAAAACTCAGCTGTGGCTTGTTTGTGGGTGTGGACTCCAACTGGGGGCAGATCCCTCTGGCCGAGTTGCAGAGGGCTTCCCTGAGGGGGGAGCTTGTCCTGGTGAGCAACTGGTGTCCCCCATACTAGGAGGCCACAGGAGCGCCCTCTGTGACACTCATCTCAGAGGGTGGCCTGGACTGTCCCAGCATTTGACAGCATGGGGTGTGGTCTGAGGGGCCTGAGCCCAGAGCTGCATGTGGGAGAGCTTGGGAGCCCCCGTCCTGTGCTCCTGGAACCCCCTTCCCCGTTCAGGCAATGTTTCCTGAGGAACAGAACCTGCTGCCCCTCCTTTCCTGGCTCAGCACAAGCAAACCCACACCCAGTTCCCGAGGGGTGCAGGGAGGCCGGGGGCTGTGGGGTCTCTCCTGGCCCCAGTTTGGGAGTGGGCTAAGAGCTTCCTGTGGAAGTAAGTCCTGCAGGGACAACCAGGGCCACCTGGTGATGCTGGGTAGCAGGTGCTGGCAAAGTAGGATGAGGGGAGGCCTGAGAAAGGTCCCCTGAGAAGACATGCCAGGTACCCAAGTCAGACTCAGGCAGCAGAGGCCAGCTGGGCCCCTCTAAAGGCAAGGAGGGGTTGGAGCCCTGGGAACCTAAAGGTGACTCCTGATGTCTGGGAACAGAAGGGATTTGGAGAGAGATTTATTAGTATTCTCACCCAAACTAACCCAGCTGTGGGATTCCCAGGCAGGACTTGGGAGACACCTGGTGCTGGCCACCAGGTCTACCCCTTGGTCCATGCCCTCCTCCCTCTTCCCTCACACGTGTTTTGCCTGTGGTATCCTAGGAACGCAGGGCTTCGAGCCTTGTGGTCCTGTTACATAACAGCTTCCATCCCATCCATGAGTTCAGCCCTCCGGCAAGCGGGAGCTGCAGCAGGCGCACCAAGGAAAGCCTCTGCTCCAGACCCAGGCTCCTGCTGCCCAAATGCACAGTCCCTGCCACTCCTCTGCCACCCCCAGCATACAAGGGAAGGGAGCTTCATAAGCAGTCAGCATCCAGCTGGATTCTTTCAACAGGGCCCCTGTCCTGTCCTGGTCCCACATGAGCATGGCACCTGTCAGTGGTCACACACTGGCCATGGCTTCCCCAAATCCAGCAGGCCTAGGAGACAGGCCCAGGGCCGGTGTGAAACATGACTCCTCAAACCCCTCTCCGCACTCTGCACCCCGAGACCAAGGGCACACCATTACTGGGACCCTCCCTGGCTTGGAGATGCCTGTCCTGCCACTGTGCCTGTGGCTGCCCCCTCGCCCCCCTTGGGCACCTGCGCAGGTCACCTGCGCTCTTACCTGTTCTCTTCTCTGGCCAAGGCAGAGAGTGCTCCAGCAGGGACTTGAGGACCTCAGGCATGTCCATGGCAGGGGCCACTCGGAACCAGTGGCAGCTCACACAGCCCAGCAGGAGGTGCTTGCTCCAGGGAGTTCAGAAGCAGCTGGAGAGGCAGGGGCCGGCCAAAGCCGCAGGCTAGGCAGGCAGGCGGGGTGGGAGCCTTGAGGCAGCCAATGGCCAGCACCAGTCCCGGCCCGCCCGTCCACCCCCGGCTCGGCCACCTGCCAGCTCCGGCTGCAGCCAGGCCTTCCCTTCCCGCTGCTTGGCAGGGCGGGCCTGGCCCTGCGCCAGCTGTAGCACGTGGAGCTGTCGCGCCAATCCTCTGACAGAGAGCCCAGCCTGTTATTTAACTTTGGAAAGGGAAGTTCTCCCCCAGGCTGGGAGCCATAACCGGGGCTGCCAGGTGAGAACAGTAAGTTCTACGCCCACAGCAAGCATGCATTGGCATGGAGGAGCCCTGGAGGCCCAGGTGTGCAGTGGAAACCATCCCAGGCTGGGACCTCAGGCTCTGAGAAAAAAGGAGGACGACAGGCAAGGACAGCACCTCGGACAGCCCAGCACAAGATCCCCTGTGCTGGCAGATGCTGGGACACGGGTGGGCAGCATGCCTTCACCTGTAAGCTTGTGAGCCTCAAGGGCTAGTGGCATGTTTTGATGCTGTGTTTATGCCATGCACACGTACCCTACAAGGCATGCCAGCATACATGTGGCATGCATAATTGGGGCTTTATACCATCTGCACAGCCTGAAGCCTGTTCCCCAAAAGGAAGTGACAAAACCTGCCCTCTGAGGTTCTTTGGTCTTCAGAGGAGAGGGAGAAGGGGCAGGGGCCTAGCAGAGAAGTGCCAGGAAACCAGGCACCACCAAAAGGGGAGCAGCTCTGCCAGCCTGGTTTAGGCTTGTCCTGGATGAGGAATCCCTGCTTCCCAGTCATTGTGGGGACCTAAGGTGCCAACTGGCTATTTGCTGTAGTCCCCTCTCATACCCTCCCACCAGGATGCTGGCCCCTATGGTCCTCTGGTTACTTGAATGTGTGGGCGAAGCCGTGGTTCTGGGTGTTACCATCCTCCTCAGACCAACATCAGAGCAAAGCCAGACTTGCCAGGGGATGTCAGGTTCTCGATGCTGCTGTACATTGCTGTGGGATTTTGAGAAAGCTTGGCAGCAGCTATGGGTCTCAATTCCAGAACCACCAAATGCAGTGACCTCTGAGGTGCCTTTCAGCTCTAGTTCTATGGCTCTGAAGCTCCCGGTGGGCAGCAATAAACATTCGGTTTTCTGCATGGTAGCTGATTTTTTTTTTTTTTTTTTTTTTTTTTTTTTTGACTTCAGATTCTGCTCTGTTGCTCAGGCTGAAGCGCAGTGGTGGAATCATGGCTCACTGCCTCATCCTTGCAAGTAGCTGGGACCAGAGGTGCATGCCACCACACAGTGCTTTTTTTGTGTGTGTAAAGACAGGGTCTCACTGTTGCCCAGGCTGGTCTCAAACTCCTGGGCTCAAGCCATCCTCTGGTCTTGGCCTCCTCAAGTCCCAGGATTACGAGTGTGAACACTGCCCCTGCCCCGTAGCTGGTTTCTAACCAGTCCTTTGTTGTTTACAAAATTCCATTTTGTAAAGAATCAAAAATACTCCAGGAACCCCTTCTGGCTTCTTCCTTTCCCAGCTTATCTTCTAATTACCCTCCTTCCCTCCCTAATGACCTCCCGAAGTTATGCTCTTCCCTAAATTAAAACTTACTTTTAATTTTTTTTTTTTTTTTTTGAGACAGAGTTTTGCTGTTGTTACCCAGACTGGAGTGCAATGGCACGATCTCGGCTCACCCCAACCTCTGCCTCTTGGGTTCAAGCAATTCTCCTGCCTCAGCCTCCCGAGTAGCTGGAACTACAGGCGCACACCACCGTGCCCAGCTAATTTTTGTATTTTTAGTAGAGATGGGGTTTCACCATGTTGACCAGGATGGTCTCGATCTCTTGACCTCGTGATCCACCCACCTTGGCCTCCCAAAGTGCTGGGATTATAGGCGTGAGCCACCGCGCCCCCACCTTACTTTTAATTTTTGAATTCAAAAAACAGTACATGGCTCAAAGCTCAACACCTCCAATAAGGTTTATTTTGAGACACAGTTTCACTCTGCCGCCCAGGCTGGAGTACAATAGTGTGATCTTGGCACACTGTAACCTCTGCCTACCAGGCTCAGGCCTCAGCCTCCCAAGTAGCTGGGATTATAGGTGCATGCCCGTACGCCTGGCTAATATTTGTATTATTACTAGAGATGGGGTTTCGCCATATTGGCCAGGCTGGTCTCGAACTCCTGACCTCAGGTGGTCCACCCTCCTCGGCCTCCCAAAGTGCTGGGATTACAGGCGTGAGCCACAGCGCCCAGCCCCTTCCAATGTTTCCTTTTGCAAAAGTAAGCATATATATGTATATATGTATGACACAGGCACACACAAAACTTTTAGTTTTGCAGAGTTGTATGTTTTGACCAGTTGAGAGTGTTTTGTAACTACAAAGGAGAAACCCCCTTACTGCTCTGTTTCAAGCCAGAGCCCTCTGTTCTGTGACCCTGGGGGGTGAGGGTAAGGGTGAGAGTGGACCTGGTGTGCAGGCCCCCAGCTGACCTGTGACTTGCAGGCAGGTGCTGACTGAGGCTTGGCTGCCGAATTCACCATTCCTTGGCCAGGAGTTCTCTTGAGTGCAAGACCACTTATCACAAAGGTGGAGTGGGCAGTTGCCCATTGGGTATTATCTCAAAAGCAATAGGAAGCACCCTGTGTGTCTCAAACATGTCCACCTGCTGCAAGACATTTCATTCTTGAAGATTCATTCCTGTGAGCTATCTGCAGGCTCCTTTTAATGTGCAAATGTCCTAAGCCTCTGAGACCATGAATGAATGCTTGCCACATACCTGGCACCAGCCTAAACCCTGTGAGGAATTCAAAGTTAAATAACATACCCGGCCAGGCAACTCCCTGTCCTTAGAGAACTTTCACACCACCGGGAGTCCATGTTGGCAGTCCCCCAGTTGGTGCTCACGGTGTCCGGCTGGCAGCATCACCTAGGTCAGACAGGGACCACACCAGTGGGCTGCTGGGCCAGGCAGCCAGGAAGGCCAGAGGTAGTGGGAAGGGGATATACATACCTAAAGACCGGGGGCCACGTGCCGGATCTGTTGGGATTGTCTGCACTTCTTGGACTTCCTAGCTCAGGGGTCTGATGTCCACTGCAGATGGTCTGAGGTCTGTTGGTGTCCTTATCAATGCCACTGAGCCCATTCCCATCCCCTATGCTTGAGTTTTCATCGACTGTATTTACCTCCAATTCATTAGGAATATGGAGTCCTCTATGTGCCTACAGCTATGTCCCATTGAAAGGAAGCTGTGATCCCTGACAGGAGTCTGGGGTCAGAGTCACAATGGCCCCATAAGAACATTTAATGCCTTGTACAGCTGAGAGGCCTGGGCTGAGGGAGAACTTGATAAAGAATATGTTCTTGATGGGCACGGTGGCTCATGCCTGTAATCCCAGCACTTTGGGAGGCTGAGGTGGGCAGATCACGAGGTCAGGAGATTGAGACCATCCTGGCCAACACAGTGAAACCCCATCTCTACTAAAAATACAAAAAATTAGCTGGGCACAGTGGCACTTACCTGTAGTGCCAGCTACTCGGGAGGCTGAGGCAGGAGAATTGCTCAAACCCAGGAGGCGGAGGTTGCAGTGAGCTGAGATTGCGCCATTGCACTCCAGCCTGGGCAACAGAGCAAGACTCCATCTCAAAAAAAAAAAAAAAAAAACATTCTTTACCAGCCATGGTGGCTCACACCTGTAATCCCAGCACTTTAGGAGGCCAAGGTGGGTGGATCACCTGAGGTCAGGAATTCGAGACCAGCCTGGCCAACATAGTGAAAACTTGTCTCTACTAAAAAGACGAAAATTAACTTAATGTGGTGGCAGGTGTCTGTAATCTCAGCTACTCAGGAGGTTGAGTCCTCACTTGAACCTGGGAGGCAGAGATTGCAGTGAGCTGAGATCGTGCCATTGCACTCCAGACTGGGAGACAAGAGCAAGACTCTGTCTCAAAAAAAAAAAAGTTTCCTGTGCCTTGTCCTCTTTTTGACCAGCAGCGCATATTCACTTCTAGATCTGAAATGAAAGTGCCAAAAGAGGTTGACATAATCTTACGATCATCAATTGAGCAGGTCCAGTGGCTCTGGCTGCCTTTTCCTGAAGACCTGGGGATATTTTGCAGGGAGGTTGCAAAGGGCTCCCAGGTGTGGGGATAGACATATGCAGGTCTTTGCAGAACTCCCAAGGGCTTTCTCTAGAGAGGTGCAGAGCTGAGTCAGCTGGTGTGCTGTGTTGGTCGTGCTCACTGAGGCCCCCTCCTCACAGGGCTGAAGACCAGACTGGTGTTCAGTAACTGGGAGCTGCTGAAGCCAGCTCCGACTCATTGATAGGAGGAGTACCAGCCACTGACCATAAGTATCTAGGTGACACGGGTGCATGGAACTGCACATGTGAAACAAAAATTAAGAGAAAGATGCAGAACAGTGAGCAACATGGATTACAATGACGAATCTTTTTGAAGCTTCAATTCCAGTTTCACTTCCTCCAGGAAGCCCTCCCTGGCTCCCGAGCCTGGATGAGGTGTCTCCCCCGCTCACCCCCATCACATCATTCTATATAATCTACTTTTAGGTTGGTCTCCTTTAGCACTGAACTGAAGGGAAAGCAGTTTCTGTGGCAATCTTGTTATGTGGGTACTGAGCTGATGATGTTTCCCAATCTGAGCCATGTGAGGACCAGAAGAGAATTTAAGGGAATTGACCAGAATGTATGAATTTATTCCACTAGGTTTACCGAAGTCTTGCTTGTCTTACTCTTTGCTTTTTAAAATTGTTTTGAGTTTTTGAGACAGCGTCTTGCTGTCGCCCAGGCTGGAGTGCAGTGGTGTGATGATGACTCACTGCAGCCTCAACCTCCTGGGCTCAAGCCATCCTTCCACCTCAGCCTCCCAGGTAGCTAGGACCATAGGTGTGCACCACCATGCCCAGCTAATTTTACTTTTTCTTTTATTGGTAGAGATGCAGTTTTACTGTTGCCCAGGCTGGTCTGAAGTTCCTGGCCTCAAATGATTCTTCTGCCTTGATCTCCCAAAGCAGGATTACAGGAGTGAGCCACCCAGGGAAGGTTTTGATGCAGGCACATGATCTCTCCAGCCTAAGGATGAGTCTATATTTTTCTTGTGGGAGCTCTGCCTTGCCACACCACTTTGATTTTTCACAGTGCACTCAGAGGTGCTGTGAATTCCAGAATGTCAAAGCCAAAGAGATATTTGCCGATACCCAGTTCCCAGTGATTCTCGATCTTTTTTCTGCCTCCTTTCTGAGGGTCCTTGGAACCTTCCCTGAAACTCTCTGGGCTATAAATGTGGACAGCAGACTTCCACGGTTGTTGTGGGAGACGGATGTACTATCTGCACAGTAGCTGCCGCAAACAAGATGCTCAATAAAGCTGGCTGCTGGCCAGGTGCGGTAGCTCACACCTGTGATCCCCACACTTTAGGGGGCTGAAGAGGGTAGATTGGCCTGACCAACATGGGGAAACCCCATCTCTACTAAAAATACAAAAATTAGCTGGGTGTGGTGGTGCACACCTGTAATCCCAACTGCTCAGGGGGCTAAGACAGGAGAATCGCTTGAACCCAGGAGGCGGAGGTTGCAGTGAGCCGAGATTGCACCACTGCACTCCAGCCTGGGCGACTCCATCTCAAAAAAAAGAAGCTGGCTGATTTTGCTCCTTACATCATTTATCAAGCATCTGAGCGCCTACTGCATACCTGGCCCAAATGATTCCCTTAGGCAATTCTCTGGTCCTGAACTTCTGTCCTAGTCCACTCCACACTGCAGTTTAAAGCTATCTGGGAAGCCAGGAGCAGTGGCTCATGCCTATAACCCCAGCACTTTGGGAGGCCAAGGCAGGTGGACCACTTGAGGTCAGGAGTTTGAGACCAGCCTGGCCAACATGGTGAAACCGTCTCTACCAAAAATACAAAAATTAGCCAGGTGTGGTGGTGGGTGCCTGTAGTACCAGCTACTCAGGAGGCTGAGGCAGGAGAATTGCTTGAACTCAGGAGGCAGAGGTTGCAGTGAGCCAAGATTGTGCCACTGCACTCCAGCCTGGCCATAGAGTAAGACTATGTCTCAAAAAAAAAAAAAAGGGAAAAAGAAAAAAAAAAGCTGTCTGGTGAAAGCTTGTTCTTGGACCTGAGCAGTCCCTCCCCACGGGACCCCTCTATCACCTACAGCCATGCACAATCCAAAAGATTTGACAAAGTACCTCCCACCCCAGCAGATACAGGTGTCCCTGACTTAGAACTCCACATCTATCAGATCCTTTTATTTATTTTCTGAGATATTTTCTGAAATTTATTTATTTTCTGACAGATCTTGTTCTGTCACCCAGGTTGTAGTGCAATGGTGCAATCTTGAATCACTGCAACCTCGCCTGGCAAGTTCAAGCAGTTCTCCTGCCTCAGCCTCCTGAGTAACTGGGATTACAGTCATCCACCACCAAACCCGGCTAATTTTTCTATTTTTAGTAGAGACGGGGTTTCACCATGTTGGCCAGGCTGGTCTTCAACTCCTGACCTCAGGTGATCCACCCGCCTTGGCCTCCCAAAGTACTGGGATTACAGATGTGAACCACCGGACCCCGCTAGTTCCTTTTAAAGATGAGAAAACTGGACCCATGTGACTTCAGTCTCCCTTGGGTTCACTGATGCCAGGGTTGCAGTTGGAATCACACTCGAGATCATAGGGAAGGCATGGTCCCCTGCCTTCCTGGAAGAGCCCCCTCCAGAAAGGGCAAAGGCAGGCCTTGGAACCCAGCTGGGCACACGCTGCAGCATAAGTGCAGGGAAGTGTGGGCACCTCTGGCAGCCCCACGTGGAAGATTGAGAGCAGGCAGGCTTCGGATGAGCCAGGGAAGGATGGCTGCTGGGCCACTTGTATAGAGCGCCACTTGTCACTGCCAGTGAAATGCTGCCGGAGCCGGGGTCAGCTGGCCTCCGTGTGTACACAGGGACACAGACCTGTCCCTTACCCCTTAGCATGCCTAACATTCCTCAGAATAGCTAGCACTGGCCAGATCTGTCTCCAGAGGACAGAGTAGCTCAGGCCCTGGATACAAGTGCCAGATGGGGAGGAACAGGAGCGACACCTTGGGGACAGAGGTCAAAGTGCACAAGTTTATTTTCTAGAACAAAGGCTAAAGAAGCAAGTTTCTTTCATTTTATTTTAAGAAGGACAAAAATTGTTATTAAAACATCTACATTATTATCAAGATACTAGACCTTATGAATATTTAATATTAAAGTGTGGTATTCTTAAATTTTTAATACACAGACATTTTAAAGGACCATTAAATTGATTACTGCCCGGCTGAGAAATGCAGCATCCCTCCCCACCCACCCCCGGCCCCATGCTTGCCATGCCATCTTGTCCCTGCCTGCTAGGGGTAAACACAGGTCCTGGATTCCGCCCTCTGAGCCTCCCAGCTGGGGGCCCTAGAAGGCTCACAACTGAAATAGTTACCCTCATCATTAAAAGTGTCTTCTTGTCTGCTCCCCACCATATTATACTCTGCCTCCCACTCTCCCTTTCTTACCCTGTGGGGTCTTCAGCTCTGGCCAGGCCAGGGAGCCCCAGATCCCAAGGGTCCCTGGACAGATCACAGGCTGAAGATTAAAACTCTGGTCTTGAATCCTGTTCCTTTTGGCGGGGAGAAATACAAATCACTTTCTTTCCCTGAGCACTCCCACTGTCTGCACTCGATGGGGGTGGTCTGGGAAGCTGGCAGAGTTGGGCCTGGGGAGGTTGGCTCCTGCCCCTGGCTGCCCGAATCACCTCTGAGCCACGGCTCCAGTCCCTGTCGCCTTGCAAATAGTACGATGACCCCCAAAACCCTCCTAATCACACAAGGATGGCTGCATTTTCTGGCCAAATTCTTTATCTTTAGCCCTCATAAAAGTGATTCCTTGGATACCACACACATATATAATATTATATAGAGCGATATATTTAATACCTGTGTATATATGCATCATGGGGGCGACATATATACACACTAGAAACAAGGCTGGTGACGACAGACTGCAACACCACGGATCAGGGAAAACGAGTATCATCGATATCACAGCCACGACCCCCACCTTGGGTGTGGTCTCCCCTCTCCTCCAGCCATACCACCAGCACCCAAACTGCAGTGGCCTGCTGGGGTAGGAGGCGGGGCAGGGAAGAGGAAAGGGTGCATGCTACGATTATCAGGAAAGGTCGGGCAGTGGCGGTGAGAGGAACAGCATCCCGTCCAGCCCTGGGCAGCCCATCACTGTCAGCGCGCACTGGCAATCCTTGCTTGAGAATGGGATGGTCCCTTTTCTCCTCCTCACCCCTCCACAGCCTAATCCCTGGTTCCTTCCGGGGCTGCCCCACTCCTGTGCCAATGATGTGGGGCATTCTGGAATGTCTGGGGAACCAGGGGAGGCTGGATCTGCCCATGGAGGGTGGGTTGGAGAGGATGGGGTGCACACAGACATGTCAGACGAGAGGGACAAGAGAGGCCTTGCTGGGTGGGGGCAGGAACTGGGGGTCCACTGGAGTCCCAGGCAGCTGGTAGGGCCAGGGATCAGGGAGGGGCTAGGACAGATGGTTTTAACTGTGTATCTGAGTCTAGAGGAGAGGACATGCCTGGTCCCCAAGAAAGAGGGGTGTGTCCCATCCTGGAGTGGCCCATGGTGCCCGAGGTCAAGCCTCCCTTTTCTCCACATCCCCCAGACCCTCACCCTTCCCACCTCCCACGTCTCATGCAGATCCTGAGCTCATGGTGTCCTGCCCTCTGCCACCTTTCCCAGAGTGCACGTGGAGAGGCGACCTCTGCTGCTGTACCCCAAGAGACCATCCTCGGGAGGGAGTAGTCCCTTCAAGGGGTGCTCACATGGCCAGCCCTCCTCTGGGCCTCCCTTCCCCGGCCCCCAGGCAGCGCTGCCTGGGACCCCAGCACACTGATTCAGAGACCGCCACATCCCTGGTGAGGGGACAGTGGGCTCAGCCAATAATTGGCCCTGAGTCTTTTGAGCCCTGTTTTCATCCCAGCTCTACTTTGTGCTGGGAACCTGGGCAGACCACTCCTCCCTTCTAGGCCTCAGTTTTCCTCTCTGCAAAATAGGGTTTGGGCTGGATCATCTCTGAAGGCTCTGAGGACCTACAATCTATAGTCACTGGCCCATGAGGGAGTAGGGTTCAGGTGGTGGCCTCAAAGGGCCGAGACTCCTTAGGTTCCAAAGATCATCTAGACCAGCTCCTTCCATCCTTCCAGAGGGGAAGCTGAGGCTCCAGAGGGTAAGTGACCAGTACAGTGTTCCCAGCTTCTTCCTGGGGCTACATTTTAAAGCTAATGGGGCCTCTGCCCTCTGTTATGTCCTGATTTGCCCCCGGGGGGGTGGTGGAGTGAGGATAGGGCAGGGAGAAGGACCCTACTCTTGCAGATTCAAGTGGGGACCCCAGGCTCCCCAGCCCTGAGCTTTGGGCCCCATTAGGAGCAGACAGAAGTTAAAGCTGGAGGCTGAAGCTGGAGGGGTCAGCCAGGCCCCTCCCTCCTCAACCAGGAGAGCCGTGGGGGTAGGGGAAGGGCTGCCCAGGTTCCAGAGGGATGAGGACCCTGGGGCCTCCAGGGGTTGCAGCATGTGCACCTGGGTACGCACACCCGGGGTGGTGGTGGGGAAAAGATAGACGGGGCCCCAGGGGGCTGGGGGCTGCCTGATAAGGGTGGCCTCCCCACCCCCCCACTGGCCAGCCCTGACCCTTCTATCAGGCCTTCTGTCACCACCCCACCCCCTGGCCCCAGGACTTTGCCCATGGCCGACACCTGGCCCTACTCCCCAGTGGTGGCGGCAGCAGCAGCAGGGGCTTCTGGGGTGGCAATGGCAGGGTCCACGTCCTCTTGAAGCAGGAAGTTGTATTTGCCAAAGTCGTCGTCCCGTGGACACAGCAGCATGTCCTTGCGAGCCTTGGCCAGCTTCTGCTTCAGCACCTCGCGCCGGTCCAGCCACTCGTTGAGCTCCTCCTGTCCATGGGCGCAGCGGCACTTGTCCCCATCTGGGCAGGCTTTGCCCTTTTGGAGCCTGTGGGTGGCAGGAGGCTCACTGCCCGTGCTCTGTGCCCTTCCCACCCCAGCCTGTGAATCTTGGGCCAGCCACTTGCCCTCCCCTGGGCAAGACAAGCCTCTCCCTGGGCAGCTGGGTCCCAGCTCAGGGAAAACCTGGGTGTCCTGACCCACTCTGGGATCTGCTCCAACCCTGTAAATTAGGGGTCTGGATAGGTCTGAGTCTAGTCCCCCAATCTCATCCTTTCCTACCCCCATGGCTGCACTCACAGCCAAGCCTCACCACTCTCTGCACACCACCTCCACACCAAGAGGAGCCAGAGCTGGCCATAGACTCCATCTCCTCGGTCCATACCCCATGTCCCTCCAGGCCCTGCCCTCCCAGGAGCACCTGTCACAGAGCCGGAACTCGCCCATGGGGAAGCGGAAGGCCCAGCCACTGGCGTCACTGTCAGACGTGAAGACCTTCTCCTTGTGCTTCTCAGACTGGATGTGCTGCTGCCACTGCTTCTTGCTGTTGCTGTTCTTGCCGCAGAGCCAGCAGTGGTAGCCCATCTGGGGGGACAGCCACCATGGGTGCCCGGTCCCCCACACCTCTGCCTGGACCACCTCCCTCGGAGAGGCTGAGTGTTCGCCAGCTGGGACTTCCAGGCTGCCCCTCCCAGGTCAGGCTCAGACCACAGCATTCGGGGGAGAGGGCATTACCATGATGTCCGCGTAGTCCGTGGGCATCTGGATCTGCTTCTCCCCTTCCCGAGAACTGATGGGGGTCCCTTCTCCAGGCTTCCCTGGGTTGTGTTTTTTCAGCCACATGTCATAGGTCTGCTGCATGTCCAGGACTGGGCAGGGGACAGGGAACAGGGAACCTGCTGAGGGGCTTCCCCATCCGTTCTGTCCCATGGTCCCTGCTTGATTTGGGAGCTGTGGATGTCCCAAGCCCTGCTGATAGGCCAATGGGCTGATGGGCCCGGCCTGGGGTGGGTGGAGCAGGGCTCAGGCAGCAAAAGGGGGTGCAGCAGGCACTCTTAGGCCTGCCAGTGAGTTGATTTTTTTTTTTTTAAGATGGAGTTTCACCATATCGGTCAGGCTAGTCTCAAACTCCTGACCTCAAGTGATCCCCCTGCCTCAGCCTCCTAAAGTGCTGGGATTACAGGTGTGAGCCACTGTGCCTGGCCAGCTGGGCCTGCTGGTGAGTTGAGCTATTCAGTGATGAGGAGACCCCAGGAGAGGCCCGCCCGCCCCTCCTGCCCACTCACTCTTGTTCTCCTTCATGAAGGTCCACATGTCCCTCTCCTCTGGGCTGTGTGCGAAGGAGCAGTTCCCCACATACTGGCACTTGCGGCCGTTCTGTGCGTGGATGCAGAGCTGTGGAGTGGGCATGGGGAGAGTTTCTGAGTCCCACTGGAAAGCATTGCTGCCTCCTCGGGGGTCCCCTACCCCCGTCCCAGCGCTCACGTCGTATTGCTGTGGGAAGTTGCGAATGGATGGCAGTGGCCTCACTGACACCCATTTCCTCTTGGCCTTGGACATCACCAGAAGGACCCGCCGCTCCTTGGTCCAGCTGCAGGACAGAGCAGGGTTGGGGAGAGGTCAGGGCCGAGCCTATGTGCTGTGTGACCTCCGTGGAGAGCCCTGGCCTCTCTGAGTTGGCCTCCACACCTGTGGTGGTCGGGTGGGCCTGATCCCACCAAAGCCCTAACCTGGCACCCCACTCACCAGTGCCGGGCCTTGGCACTGCAGTACTTGAGGTCCTTGTCAGGCTCCACCACCTGCCCGTTTCTCCAGCACTGGCCACAGACAAACTTCATCTGCAGATCGAAAGTGCTAGGCCCATGTGTCCTTGAGGTACCCTGTGGGGGCAAGAAAGGAGGATTGGTGAAGCTGCAGGCACCAGTCCTTAGGCCCCGGGGTCTCCACACAGGTGGCTTCTGGGACAACCTTGGAATAAGCTGGTCTTCTCCCAGGTCCTCCTGGCAGGCAGTGACCTCCCAACTGCAGGCCCAAGGGCTTCTCAGGGGAGCCAGGCCTGGAATGGGGCCCCTCTTTCCACCCTGTGGCTGGTCCCTGTCTCCCCCGACTCCCTGGGAGGACTGCTCTGTGGATGCTGCATTTCCCAGGGCAAAGCTCTGCTCACCACACCTCCCTGCCTATGCACAGGCTGTTCTGGGTGCCCTTCCTCCACTCTTCATCCAGCTTGTTCTAGAAACTATCTGTCAAAACTCAGCTGAAGCACATCTCCTGTGGGAAGCCTGCCCTGGGGCTCTTCTAAGCTGCAGCTGTCCATTCTGTGAGCTTCCACAATCTTTACACTGCCTCATGTTGACCAACTCACCCGGTTACGAGTGCCAAGCCTGTAGCAAGTAGGGAGTACAGGAGATGGGAAGCCACCCCAGTGGGGGTGAGGTGGTGGGATAGGCATCTGGGCAGCCCTGGTCTCTGGCCCTCCCTCCAGGGCAAGGTCTTGCTGGTCTCTAAGGCCCCACCTGCCACGTTCCTTTCCTATCCTATGCCCCAGTCTTTGGCCTGCTCTTTTGCACCTTTGGGACAGGGTTGGGAGCCAGAGGTGGGAAAATTGCTCAATCAGCCTTGTCTCCTGCCACCCTGAACCCCCTCATCTGGCTACGTTGGCCAACCTGCTGCTCTGCGAATGCACCAGCTGTCCCCGCTCACTCATGTAACCTTGAGCCTCCTGTCTTCCCAGGAGCCTCTGGTGCAGGGTCACCCAGGGCTCATTTTTTTTTTTTTTTTTTTTAAGACAGAGTCTCACTCCGTCACCAGGCTGAACTGCAGTGGCACAATCTCAGCTCACTGCAACCTCTGCCTCCAGGGTTTAAGCGGTTCTCCTGCCTCAGCCTCTGAAGTAGCTGAGACTACAGGTGTGCACCACCATGCCCAGCTAATTTTTGTATTTTTTTTTTAAGTAGAGACGGGGTTTCACCATGTTGGCCAGGATGGTCTCAATCTTGTGATCTGCCCGCCTCAACCTCCCAAAGTGCTGGGATTACAGGTGTGAGCCACCACGCCAGGCCCTTGCTCTTCCAGACTGCTAGGCATCATCCTCCTGCCATAGCAGCTTCCCCTCAGGAGCTGTGGCCTATTCCTGTGTTCCCATTGGCCCCTCACTGCTTCCCACCTGTGGCCAGGGTTATGATCCCCACCTGGGGGTGACAGAGAATGCCACAGGTGGGGAGGGAGCAGAGTGAGCCTTGGACAGGATGTCAGAGAACCAGGGATCTGCCCCACTCAGTGTGACCCTGAGAAAGTCACTAACAATCTCTCAGCCTTAGCTTCCCCATCTGCAAATGCCACAATCCCATGGCTCCCATCTTCAGGACCATGGCGAAGATCAGGAGGATGGGAGAGGATACTACAATCTGTGGTGTCAGTCTGAGAAGTACTAGGATATTTACAAGGTCTCAACGTATTTCTCCTGAAAACCTTTTTTTTGTTGTTTTAAGATAGAGTCTCACTCTTGTCGCCCAGGCTGGAGTGCAGTGGTGTGATCTTGGCTCATTGCAACTGCCGCCTCCCAGGTTCAAGTGATTCTCCTGCTTCAGCCTTCTGAGTAGCTGGGACTACAGGTGCCTGCAACCACACTCAGCTAATTTTTGTATTTTTAGTACAGATGAGGTTTTACCATGTTGGCCAGGCTGGTCTCAAACTCCTGACCTCAGGTGATCCACCCACCTTGGCCTTTCAAAATGCTGGGATTACAAGTGTAAGCCACTGCACCAGGCCTTTTTTTTTTTTTAAGACAGAGCTTGCTCTGTCACCCAGGGTAGAGTGCAATGCAATGCAATCTCAGCTCACTGCAACCTCTGCCTCTCAGGTTCAAGCAAGTCTCCTGACTCAGCCTCTCAAGGAGCTGGGATTAAAGGTGCCCACCACCATGCCTGGCTAATTTTGTTCATATTTTTAGTACAGACAGGTTTTTGTCATTTTGACCAGACTGGTCTCATCCATCTCAGCCTCCCAAAGTGCTGGGATTATAGACATGAGCCACCACACCCAGCCTCCCAAAGACATTTATTAAAAACTATAGAAACGATCCTGAAAGTATAGTCTTATACTTTCAAAGAGATCTCTATTATAATAGAGAAACATTTACAATGGAGGCAACTTGAGTCAAGTTTAATCAGACTGTCACCAGTGAAGGGACACACTGAGATGATGCATCCCCTGATGTGTGAGCTGAGAACACGACATCACCTCTGTGGAATGAGGAAACTGACAGGAGCCCAGAGGGAGGGACCTTTTACAAAACATTTTACAAAACATCCAGCTCTTCAAAAATATCAGTGCAACACAAGGCAGACTAAAGAACTGTTTTTCATTAAAGGAGATGAAAAAGAGACAGGGCAAGGCCAGGTGTGGTGCCTCATGCCTGTAATCCCAGCACTTTGGGAGGCCAAGGTGGGAGGATTGCTTGAGCCCTGGAGTTTCAGATCAGCCTGGGCAAGATGGAAAGCCCCACATCCCCAGCCCCATGGTCTTAAGAAACATAAAAATCAGCTGGGTGTGGTGGTGCATGCCTGTAATCCCAGCTACTCAGGAGGCTGAGGCAGGACGATCACCTGAGACCAGGAGATCAAGGCTGTAGTGAGCCATCATTCATTACCACTGCACTCCAGGCAGGGTGACAGAGAAAGACCCTGTCTCAAAATAAAAAGAGACACAATAGCTGAATGTGGTACACTACCCTGGATTTGGGGACAAGTTATGAAATCTGAATAGTGGCATAGTAGTAGAAGGTCTTACCACGCTGCTGCTGGCCTTCCCCGTGTGCGCCTCCATCTGCTGCCAGTACTTCTTAGATTCCTGAACGATGTCTTCGTGGGTCATGCCTGGGGAGGGTGGGGGGCAGACACAGGCGTCCTCCAAGGTGCTCAGCAAAGAGGGAGGCAGGGGGTCCACAAGGTGCCAGTGTCCCCCGAGGCCCAGCTGGAGAAGCCCTACTCCAAGTTAGCCCAGCCACAGTAAAACATGGGTGCAAGGGAAACACTTCGTCCATCTGCAAAATGGGAACAGAGCAGAGACCTGCTCCGACCTCACTGGAAGTGAAAGAATTAAATGCAGCCAAGAGTGGGAAAATGCAGTAGAAAGATATTGGCTCTGTACCATGGTGGGGAGTCCCCTTCTCCCATGCCAGTGGCCCTGTATCTTGGGCCAGCGACCCAGCACCCTTTCCTGATCCCCATCTCTCTCAGTGGGACTGCAACGTGGGACCTGCCTGGCAGCCTCTGGCCTCACCGGCACTTAGGGCTCCATGCCTGCCCAGCCTGGCTCACCAGCTTGCCGTGGTACAGTGGCTCTTTACTGCTAGCCCCCAAAGGGCAAATACCCCAGCCTGGTGGCATGGAACCCCCAGTCTGTCTCCCCGCCAGCCTCAGATTTGCCACTGAGCCTGACCTTGGAGATGCAGCTCACAGCACTTCCATGAAGCCTGCCCTCTTCTCAGCCCTCTCCATCCTTCTCACATCTTTCACACGACTGAGGCAGCCTTCCACCCTGGCCTATGGCTACTGCTCTATGACAGCCAGTCATCACTGGTGCTTACTTGGGGCTAGACACTGCATGTGACCTCCAATTTCTTGCAGATGACCTGCAAGTCTGTATCCACAGGGCAGACCTTTCCTGTGAACTTCTAAACCCCATATCCGCTGCCTCCAACATCTCCATGTGAATTCCACCAGGCAGCTCAGACTTCCCACATCCTGCTGCTCCTCTTACAGCCTTCCCCAGCCCACCTTTGTTTTGAGATAGTCTCACTCTTGCCCAGGTTGGAGTGCAGTGGTGCAGTCTTGGCTCACTAAAACCCGTCTCCTGGGAGACGGAGCAATTCTCCTACCTCAGCCTTCCAAGTAGCTGGGATTACAGGTGCCTGCCACCACATCCAGTTAACTTTTGCATTTTTAATAGAGACAAGATTTCACCACATTGGTCAGGCTGGTCTTGAACTTGTGACCTCAGGTGATCTACCCACCTTGGCCTCCCGAAGTGTTAGGATTACAGGCGTGAGTCACTGCACCCAGCCACCCTTCCCCCTATTAGAACATGGTAGCCCCATTCTTCCTGTTGCTTTGATCTTGGAGTCGACCTTGACACTCTCCTTTGTCTCATACTCATATCTGGTCCATAAACAAATCTTGTTGGCTCCACCATCAAAATACACCCAGAATCTAACCACTTCTCCCACCTCCAGCACCACCACCCTGGCCTGAGCAACCCTCCCTGGTCTCCCAGCCTCTGCCCTCACTCCTCGAGCTCCGCCAGGCAGCCAGAGCAACTTTTGCCAAGTATTGATCAGATCATAGAACTCCAGCCACGTAAAACCCTCCTTCAGACACTGTAATCATATTTAGAACAACCCCAGTTGTTCTTAAGGCCTGGAGACTCCTACATGCCCATTCCCCTCCGCTAAGCTGCTCTACCCCAGGGCCTGTAGAGGTTGCTCCTGCCTCCGAGCCTTCAGCCTGGTCCCTCTTCCTGGAATGCACTCCCTGCCTGCCCTTCCCTCCTCAAAAGCTATCTTTTCAGAGAGCCCTTCCCAGCCATCTTACCGAAAATGCTCCCACCCCTGAGTCTCTCACTGCCCCATTGTTCGACTTTATCTTCCTCATAATCCTGAGGCACACCTGAAATTCTACCACTGCATTTCATCAACTCTAAGCAGACACTGAGTGTTATATGTACCACATTTTATACCCCCACCCCACAAAATGTTGCTAATTAAATGATGACAGGGATACATGCATCCTAGAACGAATGGAATACAGGAGTTATTCACCTGTTTATATACTGTCTGTCTGGCCACCACTTATAAATGTAGGTTCTTTGAAAGTAAGGGCCTTGACTAGACCATGGCTGAATGCCCGGCAAGAGAAGGTGCTCAGGAAATCCCTGGTAGGTGAGTGGAAGAACACCTTCGAATCCCCACAGCAGCTATGCGATCTAGAGATGGGGCTTCCCATTTCCCCCATGAGCACTGGAGGCTCAGTGATGAGTGGGGACTTGCTGCCAGCCAACCTGGAGCAAACAGAGGTGCTACTGCAGGAGCCCAGCTGACTCCATCTCCCCTCTTCCTGCTCCCTGGACGGTGCCTGGGAGAGGAAAAACTCAGGATCTCCGAGCTTGGAAGCACCCTGAGAGCAGAGTTTCTCTCCTCTGTGGTGCCTGGGACACACCGGCTTCTCCAGAGAGCACACCCCACAGCCACCTGCAGCGACCACGGGGCCCTGGGCTGTCACCCCAGTCAGTCCTGCAGCACCCTTCACCTGCACCACCCAGCCCTCACCTGAGTACTGCTGCAGCAGCCAGACCTTGAGCTCGATGAAGCTGTGGGCAAAGTGGCAGCTGTCCTCCCGTAGGCAGCCATAGCGCACCTCATGGCGGCACACGTCGAACTGGAAGTGCTCCTGGAACTGGCGAATCTTGGAGTACTTGAGGGAGGTGGAGCGGACGATATGCACCAGGCACCTGGTGGGCAGGTGGGAGGGGCATGATGCAGTCCACAATCCCACTGAACTTCTCTCCTGGCAGGGCCACCTTTTCCATGCCAGTCTCTCCCTGGGCACCCCCTGATCTATGAACCAAGTCCAGGCCATGGATGACACAGGATGGCAGAAATGGGCTCCTACACTCAGGCAGCCCTGGGCCTGGGTCCCAGCGCTGCTTTACTCCTGCCTCTCCCCTCAGGATTCAAAGATGGAGCTGCCAACAAACAGAGGGCCCCGCCCTCAGGTTTCCAGCTTGATTCTGCAGAGCTGGTCCTGCACCCCGAGGAACACTAACCAAGCACATCCCCCAGGCCGGGAGTCTTAATGACCCTCGCTGCAGCCCCAGGAGCATCATCAACTTTACAGATGAGGAAACCCGGGCTTGGACTAAGACAGGACTGGCCCAGGAATTGGACCCTGGTCTGTCTGACTGCAGGGCCTGGGCTTCATAGTCACACTGCCGCAACACCAAGGGGAGCCAAAGGGAGAAAGGGGTGGTGCCAGACCTGACCCAGGCCTCCCCTCACTGCCTGACGCTGATGTCATGAGATTGGAGAGTGCTGGGCTAGAGTCAGAGACTGAGCCCCGCAGCTTGCTGTCTGCTGAGTAAGCTAAGTAAGCAACTTCCAAGCCTCAGCCTTTTTCTTCTGTACAACAGGGGCAGTAACTCCTCCCTCACGGGATTGCTAAGGTAATTAACATGCCCAATAAGATGCTTGGAATATAGTAGGTATTCAATAAACGTGATGCCCATCCTTTCCTGGTGGAGGCTGGATTTGATTCCCAAATTCTGCCCTTTTCCTTGCACCCTAGGTCCACCCTTTCAGCTAGGCCTTTCCTCAGCCTCTGAGGAAAAGTGGACTCTCCACTGGCTCCCAGGCCCCAGGCTGGGCTGCAGGTCCTACTTACTTGTTGTTGTAGAAGCTGTGCTTGGCAGCCAGGTTGGAGCAGACAGACGGAGAGTCCTTGGTGCCTTTGCTGATGATCCGGGGTTTACTGTCAAAGCAGATCTGCCCAGGGAGGGGAAGGGCTGGGACCCTGCATGGCCACCTGGGAAAGGGTGAGCTGGGACCCTGCACAGCTACTTGGGGAAGGACAGCTGGGTCCCTGCAAGCCCTGCTCTGGGTCAGAGAAGTGAGGAAGAGAGTCCCAGGGTCTGTGGCCCTGTCTCTCTGGTTCCAGCTCACAGGTGACCTGGCCTTGGCTCCCTTCCTCACCCTCCTCCCTCCCTCTGATCCCACCATTCCCAATGCCTGGGCAGGGGGTTACTTCGTGTTGTCAAAAAAAAAAAAAAAGAAAAAAAGAAATGGCAAATGTATTATGAACGATAGGCTGTTGCTTGGCTGTGAACTATGACTCCCAGGCTAAGGCTCCCTACAGGGGTTGGCACAAGTCCCGACCTGGAAGAGTTGGGGGAAGGGCTGGTGATGCCAGTGATAAGGGTTGGACTGAGCCACATCGAACCCTGCCAGTGACCCGGACCTGGAGCCCTTGCTCTACAGACACAGATGTGACACTGCCCCTGCCCTCAACATGCTACAACTGGGTGGGGAGGCAGGCGCCAAGTTCATTCCAGAGGCCAAGAGGGGGCTTCAGGGACAGCTTTGGGGAGGGAATTAACAACAGCTCAGTGGGGCTGAGAGGTTCCAAGCCCAGAGACACAGAACAGCGCCATGTGGGGAGGGCAAGGCCAGCCATAGGCAGGGAAGTGCAATGGCCACTGAAGCCAGCAGGGCCAAGGGAAGACATGTTGGGGAGGCCTGAGATGTGAGGCCGTGAACATGGCGCCTGTGACGGATGAGCAGTGCCAGATACCCACAAGGGATATGGGGGAAGCCCTAGACGGGCCCCTAATTTGCCTGTGTCCTGGGGGCCTGGCTGTGGGGACCACAAGTGGCAGCTGGTGCTGGGAGGTGGGCATGGCTCCAGGGACAGACTGCCTGGGTTTGAAGCTCAGCTCTGCACTGTGCTGTCTGTGTGGCTGAGGGCAGCTTCTCACCGCCCTGAATCTCAGCTTCAAATCTGTAAAATGGGGATATCTGCCTGCCAGCACTGCCATGACAATGGAAATAACATCTTTTTTTTTTAATTGAGGCTCACTCTTGTCACCCCGGCTGGAGTGCAGTGCCTCGATCTCGGCTCATTGCAGCCTCTACCTCCTGGACTCAAGCAATCCTCCCACCTTAGCTTCCTAAGTAACTGGGACCAGAGGTGCAGGCCACCAAGTCCAGCTAATTTTTAATTTTTTTTTGAGATGGAGTCTCAAATGCAGTTGCAAAATCCTGGCTCACTGCAACCTTCACCTCCCAGGTTCAAGAGATTCTCCTGCCTCAGCCTCCCAAGTAGCTGCGACTACAAGCGTGCACTACAACTAATTTTTGTATTTTTATGCCCAGCTAATTTTTGTATTTTTAGTAGAGACGTGATTTCATCATGTTGGCCAAGCTGGTCTCAAACTCCTGACTTCAAGCGATCCGCCTGCCTCAGCCTCCCAAAGTGCTGGGATTACAGGCATGAGTCACTGTGTCCAGCTGGGAATGAGAAACAAAAACAACCAGATGGCAAGCCCGGAAACCACATGGCTGCCAGGAAAGAGCAGGTGTGAGGGTTACGATTTCTCTTTCCAGCCTCAGTTTCTACCTCTGCAAAATGAGGGGCTGGATCGGATTTGGCCTTTAGCAAGATAGGATCCCAGGGCCCTGACTGACTGACTGTCCAGGACCTACTGGTTCTAAGGCCAGGCCTTCACAGCCCACAGGTTCCAGGGCTGACCTCCCACAGTGGTCCATGCCAGGGAGCATCCCCAGCCGTCTGTGCTGTGGCCTATGGGGTGGCAGTGGGTGGGCGGGCGGTACCTCACAGAGGAAGGTAAAGATGCCTTGGTGCTCCTTCAGGAGCTTGGCGATGGTGAGGCTGCCACGCTTAACGCCCCCCAGTGGGTCGAAGAGCAGGTCGCGGTTGAGGGTGCCCTTCCGCTCCTCGGTCCACACGTCGATCTCCTCCTGATGGTAGGCGAAGGTGCAGTTATCCCCGTACTTACAGTCCTGCTTGTTAATCATGTCTGCAAAGAGGCAACAGGACACGTTCCGCCAGGCGGGGACGGCAGCCCGCAGCACCCTCACCACCCCGCTGCGGCCTGTGAGGCTTTGGCCCCATGAGCCGGGCAGGGCTTGGCTCTGCCCCAACACAGGTGAGGCAGAAGCTGCTGCACCCCCTTCCAGGACTTGGCAGAGCTGGAAAGTCCTTTCCAAACACCAGGTCCCCTTCTGCACTCTGCACCTGCAGAGCATGGTAATCACTCCTGCCCCAGTCACGCCACAGGACTGCTTTTGTAGAAGTATACAAGTCTCTAAGTAAATATAACGGGTTTAAAAGCAATTATTCACCAAGAAAATAACACCACATGGTTAAGAGCATGTACTTTGGCGTCAGACAGAATTGGGCTAGGATTCTTCATTACTCCCTGAGTCTCAGCTGTCTTTTCTATGAATGGAGGAGACTGGGTTGTTGGAATCAAGTGAGATAATAAAGATCCTGGCAGGGGCACTGGGCATGGTGGCTCACGCCTGTAATCCCAAGACTTTGGGAGGCTGAGGCGGAACTGCTTGAGGCAAGGAGTTCAAGAGCAGTATGGACAACAAATTGAGACCCCATCTATACAAAAAAATTAAAAATTAATAAGCTGGATGTGGTGGCATGTGCCTGTACTCTCAGCTACTCAGGAGGCTGAGGTGGGAGGATGGCTTAAGCCCAGGAGGTTGAAGCTGCAGTGAGCTATGATAGCGCCACTCACTCCAGCCTGGGCAACAGAGCAAGACCCTGTCTCATAAAACAAAAATGATCCACCCATTTCACCTCTACCTAGGAAAAAAAAAAAAGAAACAAAACAAAATTTCTGGGGGCTGGGCTGTCTAGAGAGAGGAAGGCCCAGAACCTGGAGATCTGCTGTTTCCTGGGGGTGGGATCCGCTTTTCTTTCTTCTCCTCCCACTCTAAGTCTGCCTTGTCCCATCTCTCTGCCAAGCTCTTGGCACACAAGGACAAGCAGGCCACAGACCTGGAGGAGTGGGGCAGATCCCTGGGTGAGAGTGGGGGTGGCTGCAAGGGAAAGCACCACAGAGAAGGGTTTCCCAAGATCCAGGCAGCGCTTGAAGGAGGAGCAGAGGGCGACCTGGCTCAAAGGGCACAGCGCGTATGACAGAATCGGGGAGGTCAGTGCATTTGGGGAATGGTTAGGGCAGGAGGTGAGGGGTGGATGCGAGCATGCATGGGCCTTGTTGCAGAATCTGGACTTCATCCCACGGGCCATGGGCAGTGGTTGATGGAGGCCTCCGACCCAAGAGTGACATCTTTAGACCAGCCAGGCTGGCGGGAGGACAAGGAACAAGTGCAGGGGGACTGGGCAGGCCACTGCTAGGGGCTGGGTCGGGAGAAAGAGGCAGAGCCTGGGGCACACTCTCAAAGCCCCCATTTCCTCCTTGAGAGCTGAGGCTGCATGCCGGTGAGAATGAAAGGGCTACACTGGGAAGGGCCTAATGATTCATGTCTATTCACGCATCGCCATACAGCAGGACCAAGGCGCTTGGCTGGGACCAGAAAGAAGCAAGTCAGGGACACAATGGATGTCCATTAAATACCAACCAAGCTGACATGAGCCAGAAATGAGGACAGTGACAACAGAAGAGTGACAGAGAGCCCAGGTGGATGGAGCCCTCACCATGTGCCAGTCCTACATACTTCATGCGGCTGCTGGGCACACTGCCCCACAGGCTCTTGGGGCCCTACAGTGGTAACAGAAGCCAGCTCCCTAGGACTCGTGTAGGCCCCTGACACTCCAGAGCACAGGCCAGTGAGGAGCTCCGGCTGAATGTCACAAATGTGTTCCGCCTGGCTCTCGAGCTGTTCAGGGCAGGAGATGCTCATTCAGATACAGAATGCATCCCAGATGGGCCCCAAGAGCCTGAGCCCCAGCTTTCTTACCTCCCATGTGGCCATGAGGCCCACCCCTGTTCTGTCTACCTGTGATGGGGAGCAGAGTGGCAGCTAAGGGTGAAGGGGCTGGGCCTCAGCTGTGCTGCCGTCCCGCTGCAGCCCACCCACCTTTGCACAGGTAGTAGGAGCCCACGAAGCTGGTCTTGGTGGGCCTGGGCCGGATCCGCTTCCAGGTCTGGTCCTCGGAGCTCCGGAGCCGGCCAAGCAGGATGTCCCGCTTGCACTTGTGCTCAAGGCCCTCACGGTAGGTGTAGTCGCCAGCCCGGGGGCCTATGGGCAGGGGACACAGATGACAATTCCGGAAGCAGAACTGAAGGGTGATGGCTGGCAGCCCCATGTGGTGGGTAGGAATCGGCCCCCTGCTTATATAGCTACCTCCCCTCTCAGGACCTCCTGCAAGTTCCCACTACTCCCTTCCTGGCTACTTGCTCCCTGGAGACTGGGGGCCGTGCTGGGGGAAGCCCCTCCAAGGTGCCCATTCTTGGCACCCATCTCCCTGACCTTTTTTTTTTTGAGACAGAGCCTCCCTCAGTCACCCAGGCTGGAGTGCAGTGGTGCGATCTTGGCTCACTGCAACCTCTGCCTCTCGGGCTCAGGCGACTCTCCTGCCTCAGCCTTTCGAGTAGCTGGGACTACAGTCATGTACCACCATGCCTGGCTACTGTTTTATTTTTTTGAGATGGAGTCTCACTCTGTCATCCAGGCTGGAGTGCAGTGATGTGATTTCAGCTCACTGTAACCTTCGCCTCCTGGGTTCAAGCGGGGTGTGTCACCAGGGCAGACTAATTTTTTTTTTGTATTTTTAGTAGAGACCGGGTTTCACCATGTTAGCCAGGATAGTCTTGATCTCCTGACCTCGTGATCTGCCCACCTTGGACTCCCAAAGTGCTGGGATTACAGGCATGAGCTGCCGCACCCGGCTCATTTTTGTATTTTTAGTAGAGACAGGGTTTTACCACGTTGGCCAGGCTGATCTCAAACTCCTGACCTCAAGTGATCCGCCCATCTCAACCTCCCACAGTGCTGGGATTACAGGCATGAGCCACTGCGCCAGGCCTACCCATCTCCTTTCTACCACTGCCCTCACTCTCTAATGAGTCTGACCATGTTAGTGTTTCTCTAGAAAGAAATGTGAATACGCTGCCTGGCAGAGACAGGCCCCAAGTGCCTGCCCTTTTGCTTTTCTGCCCTAGAAGTGCTTCTGTTTTCTGGCACTTATCTCCAACTGAGACACTGGGATTCTTTCCACCTGGGATCCCATGTTCCTGAGATTCCCAGCTCTCTGGGGCAGAGGGGTAGACTCTGTAGGTGAAAGGTTACCTGTCTTGGGGTAGCAGAGCTGGCAGGCCTGCTTGAACTCATGGGTGGCAGCCAGGGGGTTCTTGATGAGCAAGGCAGTGTTGGGCATGCAGGGCTCTGGCTGTAACAGGAGGAAGGAGGCCATTGTGGGCACAGGAAGATGGCTGAGGCCACTGGGGCCAGCCCGGGCACCAGAAGTGGGGAGTACTCTGTGACCCCCCCAATCCTACTCAAGAGCAAAACCACAGCCCCGGACCCTTCCTCTTCTTCCACCCTCCCAGCCAGGGGAGCTCTTTGTAATAGGGTCCAACAGTCTAGAGTATCAGGACCAGACAGGCTATGGGAAGCCCACAGGCTAGTGGGTGACCTGGGTCTTGGCTCTGAGCCTTTCTTTGAAGGCAAGCTGAATCTGAAAGCACAGAAATGGAAGTGGCCCTGATTGCAGCCTATGCTCATACCCTCCCCCAATCCCTCAAGCCATCAGCAGATGGGAAGGAAAGCAAGACTCCGAGAGGTTAGGTGACTTCCACAGGTCCACACAGTTAGTGTTGGTCAGAGTGCAGTATCCTCATCAGATGCTCTTTTTTTTTTTTGAGACAAGAGTTTCGCTCTTGTTGCCCAGGCTGGATGCAATGGCATGATCTCGACTCACTGCCACCTCTGCCTCCGGGTTCAAGTGATTCTCCTGCCTCAGCCTCCAGAGTAGCTGGGATTACAGGCATGTACCACCACACCTGGCTAATTTTGTATTTTTAGTAGAGACAGGGTTTCGCCATGTTGGTCAGGCTGGTCTCAAACTCCACTCCCAACCTCAGGTGATCCGCCTGCCTCAGCCTCCCAAAGTGCTGGGATTACAGGCGTGAGTCACTGTGTCCGGCCCAGATGGTCTCTTAAACTCAAGACCTGGCTGAGTCTGGAGACCAGAGATGCTACTAATCTAGGGTAAGTCACTTTGCCCTCTGAGACTTGAATTCTTCCATCAGACAAGGGAAGTGGTGCCCGCTGTGTGCCTGCCCAGCACATGGCTTGGTGAAGAAGGGCATGAGGCACTTATCTCTGATCCATCCACTCTGTGGTGCCCCACCATGGGGCATGCAGCACTCTGCCCCATGCAGAGGGCTCACTCCCCAACTCTAGAACCCACAACCCCCAGAAGGGAATGAGGGGCCTGGATCCCCACTCGAGTCACTCACCGAGGGGGCTGGTTTCTGAGCACCGCTGGGGGGACGGTGGTCCTGTGAGCTGGTCTCCTCTGGGCAGGAGAAAACATAGGGGTGAGTGGCTCTGGCTCTGAGCGTGAGGGGCCTTCCTAGGACTTCGCCTCATGTGTTGCTGACTCAGAGAAGCCCCAGGCCCCACATCCTCTCCTATTTCGGCTGAACACCTGACTCTATCCTCTCCTCTCCACTCCCCTGGGGCAAAGACGCCTCCCAGCCTGAGCGTATCCACCCCTTGCTTAAACCTTCAGGCCTTCCTGCTGCCCCTAGGAGAAAGCCCAGGCTCCTTAGCTTGCTCCCAGGTCCATGAAGACCAAGGCCCCCACCCAGCTGCTCTGCTCATCAGCCAGCCCTTCACCGTGCCAGGCTAGTGCGTCTGCTTCCTCTACCTGGCAGGTGAACCTTCCTTCAAGACCCCACAGAGTCACCACTTCCTTCAAGAAGCCTCCTTTGGCCCTGAGGCTGAGTGAAGTCCCCTCTGTGCCCTCATAGTCCTGTTAAGCCCTCTCAGTGGTGAGTGCCCTGGGCTGTGTCTGACTGCTGAAAGCTAGCCTCACCAGGGCCCAGACAAGCCGGCTTCTTCCCTGGGTCCCTGGCACCCAGCTCAGAGTGGTGCTGTGGGAGCCCATACCTTGTGCCCCGGCTCCAGCCTTAGGATCATCCCATGGGGTTTCACCAGCTTGGCAACCCAAGGTCCTGGGAGGCTGGGCAGGGAGTACCACACTGGGAGTCTAGATGCCTAGGCTGTGGCAACTCTGCTCTGCTTGATCTTGAACAAGGCACCCATCCCTCAGACCCTAGTCCCACACTGTGCTGAGCACTGCAGAGACATGGAATGACATGGCCCTGGATTATAAACAGATCTGAAACTCACTCCATTCTCCAGAGACCAGAGAGGTCAGAGCACTGTGCTCTGTCAAGGGAGTGAGGGCTGAACATGCCCACCCATGGCCTTACCCATGAAGGAGTCAGGCTTGTCCAGGGAGCCTCGTGTCGACCCAAAGCTGTCGAGTGCATCCAGCCGGGTCTCTGAGTAGGGCAACAGGTCCAGGGGGTCCAGTGTGGGGCCCGGGGGATCGAGGGCATCCAGCACTGAGGCAGCCAGCTTCTTGGAGGGGTCCATGACCAAGCCGAAGGAGGCGGGGGGCAGTGGGCTGGAGACAGGGATGGAGCCACCCACCACAGGTGGTAGCAGCGGGGTCCCACCGGGGAACACGGGTATCAGCTGGGGCAACTCACTAGGCACGCCGCTGCCAGACAGGCCACCTTGGACCAGAGACTACAAGGCAGGGACAGAGGGAGGGGTCAGAGGAGGATGGGACTGCCCGGGCCTGGGAAGCATCAGGCACTTGGGGAAGCAAGGAGACCTGCAGCCTGCTCCCCAGCTTCAGCCTGTTCCATGGGGGAGCAGGGCTCACTATGGTCCCTTCTGGCCGGACATTCTGCAGCTTCTTTTTTTTTTGAGAGGGAAGTCTTGCTCTGTGGCTCAGGCTGGAGTGCAATAGCTCAATCTGCAACCTCTGCCCAAGTTCGAGTAATTCTCCTGCCTCAGCTCCCAAGTAGCTGGGATTACAGGTGCGTGCCACCATGTCCAGCTAATTTTTGTATTTTTAGCAGAGATGGGGTTTCACCATGTTGGCCAGGCTGGTCTTGAACCCCTGACCTCAAGTGATCTACCTGGCTTGGCCTCCCAAAGTGCTGGAATTACAGGTGTAAGAAGCTGCAGATTGCAGCTTCATTTCTGTCCCAAGCAAGTCCCTTCTGAGGCCTCCTCCTGAGACACATGACATGAGCATGGGGGCCTTCCCTCCACCTCTGGGACAATGGGGGCTGAGGCAGGAGAGGGGCTCAGGGGAGTACAAGGAGGGCAGGTGTGGCTCACCAGTGAGTCCAGGAGGGTGTCCAGCTCTGGGCCAAAGACATCCCCGTCTGAGAAGTCATCCAGGCTCTCGGTGCTGGGGAGGGTCCTGCTGCTGTCCAGGGGGGCCAGCAGGTCCAGAACATGAGGGAACAGAGGCATTGTAGGCGTGGAGGGAAGGAGGGCCGGGGAGCCTCGAGGGTCCACGTAGCAGTCTGCAGATAAGGTGGGCAGGAGTCAAAGGGGAGCACGGCTTGGTAGGGGTAGAGGAGGCGTCCCAGGCCCGGGGATGCTCATCCAACACCTTTCCTTCTTCTCCCAGCTCTTGCCAGGAGCCCTGCCTTCCCCATGGGCTGACTCCACTGGCCGGTGCTCAGGGGTGGTCAAGGAAGGCCACAGCCCCAGAGTGCAAAGGGGCCCTGAGTCCTGTGATGTCAACACTTGGTCCAGGCTCAATGCCTGAATGTCTACCATCACTGCCTCCTTCCTCTGGAGTAAGCAATGCCCTTTCCAGGGGACACTCTTAAAAGGCAATCTTTCCTAGAAGCCAATGAAGAAGAGGAGGGGAAAGGGTTTTGGAAGAGGTGGGGGGTGCAGGCGCCCTGGAGTGAAGGCCATGGGACCGTTGCACCCAGCTGTGAGGCAGCACCCCCCCACACACCAGGTTAGGGATGCCCTCCCCTCCTTGAGCCGGTCTGTGGCTCTCAACCCACTGTTTTCTCTCATGACCCAGGGAGTCCCGGGATGGGGAATCCCTCAGGGGCCCCCCAAATACAGGGCTGGGATGGGGAGGGGCTTGACTCCCCTGACCTCTCAGGGACATCAGGGGTGAAGGACTGAGCACCCCCTCACCCGGGGCCCCAGTTTTCACCTGTTCCCTCGTACTGGGACATTACCTGTTTCGATATCATCTATGGACCCCAATCCATTAGAAGTTCCCTGTGGGGAGAGGGCCACAATGGCTCAGGCAGACATGGCTGGGAAGACCCCAATCCCAGCACCCAGGCCCTAGCCCCTCCCAGGGCTACGCTGTTGACCTGGCGCCAAGGAGCACTTAGAGCACCAGGGGAGATTAAAGCCCTCACACGTGGCTGGGTGAGGTTACTCACTCCTGTAATCCCAGTACCTTGGGAGGCTGAGGCTGGCGGATCACCCGAGGTCAGAAGTTCGAAACCAGCCTGGCCAACATGGTGAAACCTTGTCTTTAGTAAAAGTACAAAAATCAGCCAGGCACAGTGGTGGGCGCCTGTAATCCCAGCTACTTGGGAAGGCTGAGGCAGAAGGATGGCTTGAACCCTGGAGGCAGAGGTTGCAGTGAGCTGAGATCATGCCACTGCACTCCAGCCTGGGAAACAGAGCGAGACACCTGCTCAAAAAGAAAAATCCCTCACACGTGCTGGATCTTCACCCCTATATGTGCCCAGCAAGGGGCTGGACCAGGAGGCGGGGACATGGGCTCAGAGGAGCCCGACAGCTGCCCCTTTAGGGAGGGGTGGTGAAGGGAAAGGAGGCAACCTGTGAGCCTTGGCTTCCACCCACCATGGGGCAGGGTCCTCACCCTGGTGAGGGTGGCAAGGGTCTTACCAAGCCCCCCACGCAGTACCATGGATTGCCTGCAGCTCAAAGACAAAAGTGCCCCCTCCCTAAGTCCCCAGACTCTCCTCTCCCATGATAGCTTCAGGCCACCCAGGAAGCGGAGAAGGGGATGTAGCCCAGGTGGGATCCCACTGCCTTCCCACTGGAGGGAAGCTGGGCCTAAGCAGGCTCTGCAGCTTGGGCCAAGTTCCTCATCCACTTTGGGCCTGCTTCACTCACTGCTGGGGAAGGCTATCAGGAAGAAATGACTTGCTTTGTGTGAAAAGCTTAGTACGGGGCCTGGCACACAGGAACTGCTTTGTAAGTGTTTCCAGTATGTGTGTGTGGCTTTTTTTTTTTTTGAGACCAAGTCTTGCTCTGTTGCCCAGGCTGGAGTGCAGCAGCTTGATCTCAGTTCACTACAATTTCCACTTGCCACGTTCAAGCGATTCTCCAGTCTTGGGCTCCCGAGTAGCTGGGATTACATGCAAATGCCATCACACCCAGCTAATTTTTGTATTTTTAGTAGAGATAGGGTTTCACCATGTTGGCCAGGCTGCTCTCAAACTCCTGACTTCAAATGATCTGCTTGCCTTGGCCTCACAATGTGCTGGGATTACAGGCATGAGCCACCATGCCTAGCCTGTGTTTATTAGATGCATGGCATAAGTTTCTGAGTCCCAGCTATCAGGAAGTTGGCCTGGGAGAGCTGGTGTTTCGTTCACCAGCTCCTACGCTCCGACTTCCAGGCCATGGCACATTCTTCCCTGTCCTGAACACCCTCACCTGCACCTCTTGAGACAGAGTCTCACTCTGTCGCCAAGCTGGAGATCAGTGGTATGATCTCGGCTCACTGCAACCTCCACCTCTTGGGTTCAAGCGATTCTTGTGCCTTAGCCTCCCAAGTAGCTAGGACTACAGGTGTGTGCCACCATGCCTAGCTAATTTTTATATTTTTAGTAGACCGGGTTTCACCAAGTTAGCCAAGATGGTCTTGATCTCTTGACCTCGTGATCTGCCTGCCTCAGCCTCCCAAAGTGCTGGGATTACAGGCATTAGGCACCATGCCCAGCCTATAATTTCTGGTTATAAACCATGAGCGCTATAAAGGCAGATCATCGCCTGCCTCTTTTGCAGGCTGGAAGGTCCCTGAGGGCAAGGACGCAGCTATCTCAGTCAGGCCCAGGGCCAAGAGCGTTTTGTGGGCCTCCTTGTGGAATGAATGAAAGAAAGTGTTGCAAAGCTCTGGGGCAGGGAAGCCTGCTGCTGCCTCGCTGTGATGCTGGCCACGTCCCCTCTTCACTCTGTGCCTCAGTTTCCCTTTACAAGGTGGCAGGACCTCCAGCTCCATCAGTGTTTTTATAGCCCATCCCTCACTTTCCAGAAAGCCTCAAAGTCTACCTGAGCAGCTCCTGTGTGGTGAGTGGGGGGCAGAGGTCTGAGTCGTGTGCCGGGCCCTGCCCAACCTCCAGAATGAGCCAGGCCTGACTAGGGTTCACAAGTCTTGGCCTTTGGGAGGAGTCCCTAACTCAGGACAGCACAGCAGCTCTCAGCAGTTACTGCCTCTGCATTTCCTGCTGGGTCACCTGTCCCGGGCTATCAAGCACTTTCCTCCCTTGTTCCCGTTGAGGGACGGAACACCCCCATTGCAGAATGCAGATGCTGAAGGACCTGCCCAAGGCTGCAGGGCACACTTGGGCTCTTCCTTGTCAGAGTCCTCAGTCTCAGCTGCCCCTCTTCAGCAGAGTCACTGGGCCAGGGAGAACAGGAAGGATCTTAGCAGGGACATGCCCTTGAGCTGGGCTTTGAAACACAAAGAGACAGAGAAAGGCAGGGTGGGAAAGAGGAAGACATTTGAGGCCCAGGGGCCTGAACCTGCAGAAAGGCTGGTGAGAAAAAAGGCGACACAGCAGGAAATGTGGGGTGGGAGAAAGAAAGAAGGTGCATGGGATCAGGCTGTCCAGAGCTTGTGCTGGCTGGGGTCCATGAGTGAGGTTGCCCCCAATGGCTCCCCTGCAATGACCACTTCTGCCAACAGGAGCCATGGCCTGTCCCCACATCCTGCCCCTGTGGTCATAGGAGGTAGCTCCTGGGGAGGTGGAGGCTCCTGGACCCGATGCCTGAGGTCATTTATACCCAGAAAGAGTGAATCCAAACCTCTCACGACACATGAAACAAGACAGGTTGGTTCAGCCCCATCCTACCTGATCTGCCGCGCCAGCTGCAGTGCCATTACTGAGCAGAGAAAAGGTTTCCAATTCCTGCCAGAGTGAAGAGAGGTAGGCAGAGGTAAAGATTCTGAAAAGATGCTGAAGGTCCCCTTAGCTGGGACAGCAGAGAGACCCTGACACAGTCAGCTGGGCCCTGCAATGCCCCCAAGAGTCCCTGTCCCCAGGCCTGCCAGGAATCACCTGCTCTGTCTCTCTGGGTCAGATTCTGGGGTTTTCTTCCTCTACCCTTGACCTGGGCAGAGGACCTCCCTGCACACCTCTACTGTGTGTCAGGCATCGTTCTAGCTGCCATCTCAAACATTTTTTTTTTTTTTTTCCTGCCTCAGGTTTATTTGTACAAATAGCACAGGAGGACCCCAGCCCCATGCAGATGGCAGCCCCAGGGGAGTCACACCAGTCCTTCTGTCCTCTGCCAGACAAAGATATCTATTCTGAAGCCTTTGTAGGGGCCTGGGCACCTTTGAGAGCCTGAGCTGGAACTGAAACTGGAGCTGAAGCCTGGGCCTTGGTTTGATCCTTGGCCTTGGCCTTGACCTTGACCTTTGGCTGGCAGAGCCTGAGCCCCTTGGCAATGCGTGCGCGAGCACGCTTCCCAAGCTTGGGGTGGGCAATGTAGGCAAGTCGATCGAGCTTGCGGCTGACACCCTTTGGGATCTTGGGCTTAACCTCCTTGGGCTTTACGAGGGCCTTGATGGCCTCGGCACGTGCACTCATGGCCTTGGCATTGTTGGCCTGCATCTTCTTTAGGCCCTTCTTGTTGTGCTTCTTGGCAAAGCGCATGTTCCTCAGGAACTTGGGGTCCACCCCCTTAACAGACTCGTATCTTTGTGATCGGGGTTTCTTGATACCATTTCTGTGCCATTTTCGGGACTGGTTGTGTGTGGTGTGGTTCTTGGACTTGGCCATGTCTGCACTCAAGCCGCAGTTCCCCTCAAACATTCTTTTATATATTTATTAATCTAAAAAATGTTTCTGAGACAGGGTCTCACTTTGTCCCTCAGGCTAGAGTGCAGGGGGTGCAATCTCAGCTCACTGCAGCCTTGACCTCTGAGGTTCATGTGATCCTCCCACCTGAGCCTCCCAACTAGCTGGGACTACAGGCACACACCACCACATCAGGCTAACTTTTGTATTTTTTTTTTTGTAGAGATGGGTTTCGCCATGTTGTCCAGGCTGGTCTCGAACTCCTGGGCTGAAGCAACCTGGCAGCCTTAACCTCTCAAAATGTTAGGATTACAGGCATGAGCCACTGTGCTCAGCCTATTCTTTATTGTCTTTTTTTTTTTTTGAGATGGAGTTTCACTTGTCGCCCAGGCTAAAGTGCAATGGTTCGATCTCTGCTCACCATAAACTTCACCTCTTGAGTTCAAGCAATTCTCCTGCCTGAGCCTCCTGAGTAGCTGGGATTACAGGCATGCACCACCATGCCCAGCTAATTTTTCTATTTTTAGTAGAGGCGGGGTTTTTCCATGTTGGTCAGGCTGGTCTCAAACTCCCGACCTCAGGTGATCCACCCACCTCAGCCTCCCAAAGTGCTGGGATTTACAGGGGTGAGCCATCGCACCCGGCCCATCCATTCTCTCTCTTTTTTTTCTTTCATGACTACTTTTGTGCCACCATTCTCTCTTTTTAATCCTCCCATGAGCCCTCTGGGGTGGGCATAAACTATCTTCATCTTCTGGATGAGGAAACCAAGGTGGAGAGAGATGAATTAACTTGCTCAAGGTCACAGCAGAGACTCTAGAGTCACAAGCTTTCCTACGTGCAGCTTCCTGGCCCTTGGCAGGTGCCAAATGAATCTACGTGGACCTGAACCAGCCAAACAGATACCGACACTTCAAATTTGCACCATATGGGGGTTATTTGAGAACATAATGCTGAAGGAAGCCAGTGTAAACTCAGGCCACCTCCAGGTGATTCAAATCAGCCAGCACAGGGGAGGGAATGGTTTTCAACAGCTGGAGTCTCAGGTGAACTAAAAGTGACAGCTGCTCTCTCCTTTCAAAAGGTTCCAGGGCTTTCAGCCAACAGAAAGGGAAGGTCACCTGCTGTCACTCCCATCTGGCCTAACCCAGCCCTGGCCACCCTCACCCACCTTCCCCACAGTGCCTGGTCCCTCCCTTCAGACCTCCTCACATCCATACTGACCCTCCCAGGGTCCTGAGTCACCTACCTGGGGCCTCTTATATGCCTTTCGAACTCGCAGCCCCAGTTTCTGGGCCAGCTCCTGACCAAGCTGAGTCACGCTTTCATCCTGCAGGGGATGAGACACAGAGCGGTGGGTCAGTCTGCCTGGGCTCATAAAGCTGTGCTCCTGGACACCTGTGCAGCCCTGCCAGGGGGAGGTCATGGTCACCAGGATCATCACCACATGCTTATGTTCTTCCTTTTATTTGGGGGTGGGGGGAAAGGAACCATTTTGTTATTTATTTAATGAGAGGGAGTCTCACTCTGTCGCCCAGGCTAGAGTGCAGAGGTGTGATCTTAGCCCACTGCGACCTCCACTTCCTGGATTCAAGCGATTCTCCTGCTTGAGAATCTTGAGTAGCTCAGATTACAGGCACCAGCCACCACGCCTGGCTAATTTTTGTATTTTTGGTAGAGATGGGTTTTACCATCTTGGCCAGGATTGTCTTGATCTCTTGACCTCGTGGTCCACCCACCTTGGCCTCTTGAAGTGCTGGGATTACAGGTGTGAGCCACTGCTCCTTGCCTGTTTTTATTTTATTTTATTTATTTATTTAATTTTTGAAACGGAGTCTTGCTCTTTTTGCCAGGCTGGAGTGCAGCGGCACAATCTTGGCTTACTGCAACCTCCATCTCCCGGATTCAAGCAATTCCCCTGTCTCAGTCTCCGGAGGCGCCACCATGCCCAGCTAATTTTTTTTGTTTTTTAGTAGAGATGGGGTTTCACCAGAGCCAGGATGGTCTCGATCTCCTGACCTCATGATCAGCCCACCTCGGCCTCCCAAAGTGCTGGGATTACAGGCGTGAGCTACTGCACCTGGCTCACCTGTTTTTATTTTAATATTATCTTCTTATTTCTAAAATTCAGCAAGCGACAGTGTCACTGTAGAATGGAGGAACGTTACAGGGAGAGCAAGTGCTTCCTGGGTCTCCCCCTCACTCTAGGCTTCTTCAGGGTGGGGAATCACACTCTGTTGGGCTGATGTGTTTCTTTAGGGCTCTTTTCTAGGAATGCATGCATGCACGTAGACCTATAAAGAATGCTTAGTTCTGGTAGGGCGCGGTGGCTCACGCCTGTAAGCCCAGCACTTTGGGAGGCCAAGGTGGGCAGATCACCTGAGGTCAGGAGTTCAAGACCAGTCTGGCCAACATGGTGAAACCCCGTCTCTACTAAAAATACAAAAATTAGCCAGGCATGGTGGCACATGCCTACAGTCCCAGCTACTTGGGAGGCTGAGGCAGGAGAATAGCTTGAACTCAGGAAGTAGTGGTTGCAGTGAGCTGAGATTGTGCCACTGCACTCCAGCCTGGGTGAAAGAACAAGAGCCTGTCAAAAAAACAAAAAACAAAAAAACAACAACAAAAAAAACCTGCTTAGTTTTGTTTTGTGGGGATTATCTCTTTCTTTCTTTTTTTTTTTAACAGGAATGGGGTCACATTATACCTACAGTTCTACAACTTGCTTCTATCACCAAACAACATCCTGCAACCCCAGCAAGTGAGGACTCACAGATCAGGCACAGGGTTCTAAGGCCCAAAGGAGCCAGGGCGTGGAAAGCTTTGAACAGTGCCTGGACGCAGTTAGTGACCACTAAGCAGCAACCATCCGGCCAGGTGCAGTGGCTCATGCCTGTAATTCCAGCACTTCGGGAGGCCAAGGCAGGTGGATCATGAGGCCACCAGTTCAAGACCAGCATGGCCAATATGGTGAAACCCCGACTCTACTAAAAATACAAAACTAGCCAGGTATGGTGGTTCATGCCTATAGTCCCAGCTACTCAGGAGGCTGAGGCAGGAAAATTGCTTGAACCCAGGAGATGGAGGTTGCAAAGAGCCAAGATTGTACCACTGCACTGTAGCCTGGACAATAGAGGGAGATTCTCTCAGTCAATCAAGGAAGGAAGGAAAAAACAGCAACCATCCTTCCTTCCCTTTCAAGGCTGTATTACAGAACATGCATTACATGCCAAGCATGAGTGAGAGCAAAGGATACCCCAGTGAACAGGGCAGATGGGCCCAGGCCCCATGGAGATTCCAATCTGGAGGGGAGATCAGTCAGTGAACAAAGAAACAGGTGGCTAGGCTACCAACTGGGGTCCAGGCACAAAGGGGCAAGGAAGACACTGTGACACCAGTGCACGTGTCTACCTCCTACCTCACTGACAAGCTCCTGGAGGCCAGGGCCTGGGTCTGAGTCATCTCTGGTCCCCAGTGCCCAGCATGGAGCAGGAGCTTGGTCAGTATTTCCCCAACAAAGATTGGGAAAAGAGAGTTTCCTAAAGCAGAGCCAGGAGCCCTCAGTTGTTACTTTTGTCTGGCCATTTACTAACCCTAACTGGGTCCCGGCTCCTGTCTATCCCCTGTGGTGGGGATGAAAGCTCCTCTGTCCTCCTCATGAGTAAGTACCAGCAAGACCTGGGTGTGATCTGCTGTGGACACTGCAAAATATGATATGGTTCAGGGGACTATGATCATAAAGAAACGTTTTTGTTCTTTATATATATATATATATATATATATATATAGACAAGCTCTTGCTTTGTCAAACCCAGGCTGAAGTGCAATCGCACAATCACAGCTCACTGCAAACTTCACTTCCTGGGCTCAAGCGATTCTCCCACCTCAGCCTCCTGAGTAACCAGGCTCTCAGGTACGTGCCATCAGCCGACCTATTTTTTTCTAGAAACAGGGTCTTGCTATGTTGCTCAGGCTGGTTGCAAACTCCTGAGCTCAAGTGATCCTCCCACCTTGGCCTCCCACAGTGCTGGGATTACAGGCATGAGCCACTGTGCAGGCCAAGAAACTTTCTTAATTATAAACCAAACAGAATTAGGGAAACAAGAATAGTAAGTAGTAACGACATAAATGTGTTCTGAACATTTACTGTGTCTGGCCATTGTGCTAACTGCCCTGTAAAATTTTTGGATTCTATCCTTGGCACAGCCCTAGGATACCCAGTTGTCACCCCATTTTACAGGGGTGCAAACCAAGGCTCATGGTCACATAGCTAATAGGTGGCAGACCCAAGATTAGAACCCAAACCCAGGCTAGCTCTCCAACACCAATGGCCTTGACCACTATGCACACTGCCTGTCCTCTGATCTGCCCACCGAAATTCTCCTTGCCTCTTTCTGCCCTACTCAAGCCCCGCCTCCCCCAGGGAGCCTTCAAGAATTCTGACCAATCCTCTCCTCTCCACCCTTCCTGGGTGCCATTAACCTTTCCCCACCTTCCTTTACATCCATTATTTCAGGGATAAAGTAGGAAGGGCATCTCATAGATGTGGAAGTCATGTGCAGAGATGGGAAGTGCTTCTTCACACTCAGGCTGGGAGGCCACGGGTGGGGCCAGGTGTAGACCCCAGCTGCTTTCATTTGTCTCCAGTGGGCTGTGAGACCCTGCAGGGCACACATCTGCATCGCACAGAGGCCCTCAATAAATATTTGCTTTGTGGATGAGTAAATGGGGAGGGGGGATATGTCCAGCTGCCAGCAGTCCAGGGCTGCCTCACAGGCTCTCTATTCATCATTTCTCATTGTTTCTTCCCCACCTCCTGACAGCCATGGCAGCAAGACCTTGGCATAGAAGTCACCCTTTTATTTATTTGTTTGTTTGTTTATTTATTTATTTATTTATTTTTGAGACGGATCTTGCTCTGTTGCCAGGCTGGAGTACAGCGAGGTGATCTCGGCTCACTGCAACCTCTGCCTCCCAGGTTCAAGCGATTCTCTTGCCTCAGCCTCCCAAATAGCTGGGACCACAGGCATGCGCCACCACGCCCAGCTAATTTTTGTATTTTTAGTAGAGCAGGGGTTTCACCATGTTGGCCAGGATGTTCTCGATCCCTTGACCCTGTCATCTGCCAGCCTCGGCCTCCCAAAGTGCTGGGATTATAGGAGTGAGCCACCACACCTGGCCCTTGTATTTATTTGTTTGTTTGTTTTCTGTCTAGTTATACATTCATATTTATTTATTTCTAATTAATTTATTTGTTGAGACAGTCTCGCTCTGTTGCCTATGCTGAAGTGCAGTGGCATGATCTCAGCTCACTGCAACCTCCGCCTCCTATGTTCAAGCAATTCTCCTGGCTCAGCCTCACAAGTAGCTGGGACTACAGGCGTGCGCCACCATGCACTGCTAATTTTTTTTTTTTTAAGATGAAGTCTTGTTCTGTTGCCCATGCTGGAGTACAATGGCGTGATCTTGGTTCACTGCAACCTCCGCCGCATGGACTCAAGCGATTCTCCTGCCTCAGCCTTCCGAGTAGCTGGGACTACAGGCATACACAACCATATCCAGCTAATTTTTATATTTTTAGTAGAAACAGGTTTCACTCTGTTGGCCAGGATGGCCTTTATCTCTTGATCTCATGATCTGCCTGCCTCAGCCTCCCAAAGTGCTGAGATTACAGGCATGAGCCACTGTGCCGGTCCCCATCATCTTTAAAATCAGGATAATCACAGCATCTACCTCTTAGGGTTATTGCCAGGATTAGGTGAGTTAATACACATAATGTGTCCCAGCAATGCCTGGCACCGTCAGAGCTCAGAGAAGGGGAGTTAGTGTTAACATCAGGATCTGCAACTCCATTTCACAGAGAAGGAAGCTGAGACACAGAAGGATGTGATGGCTGGGCCCAAGTGAGGGCCAGAAGGGTTAGACGCCTGGCCTCTAAGCAGGCACTGGCGTGGCTGCAGAGCCACACTCACGTGGGGCAGGGCGAGGGAACACCGGCTACTGCACTCGTAAGCTTCCTTGTGGCGTCCCAGTTCATTGAGAGCACGCGCCTTGCGGAACAGAGCCCGGATACTCTCGCTGTCCAGGCCCAGAGCCTTCTCGCTATCCTCCAGCGCCTTCTCATACAGGCCCTGCCGGAGGGAATCAGGCGGTCATTGGTCAACACCTCTTACCCTCCCTCCCCCAGGCCTCCTGCCCCTGCCTAGCAATGAACACCAGTTTCCCTTCCTGGCAGAGATAGAGGAGCTGAAGTCTTGGGTTAGGAACAGGGCTCGAGGCTCCAGGAAGAAGAAAGTGCTCTGGTGTCCAGCCTCTGATCAAGGGTATCTGTGTGTCCAGCTGATGCGGCTGCAGTGGGCATGGGCAGGACACAGCAGAGAGGGGCCTGAAGATGGACAACCATGAACCTGGTCACTCAAACACGCCTATTTCCATCTCTGCCTTTGGTTTAGAATATGATGGGCTGAGAGTAACAATGGCTCCTCTAAGAGGCAGTGAGACCATGAAGGTAGCTCTGTGTGCAGAGTATGAAGAGTTAACCCTGAGGCATAAGGGAGCCATTTATCCAAAAGAGTTCACTGGATGGCAGAGGTGTCACGGGGTCCTCTAGAGAGCCTGCAGCAGAGCCTCCCACAGGATCTCATGAACCTGAGTCAGTGGGTGCACAGGACAGGGAAGAGGAGGAGGCTGCAGCTCTAAGGAGGAGAGGAGGCAGGGGAGGAGGAAGGGACTGAAGTCTGCAAAGAAAGAGTGAGGGGAAGCTGAGGCTCTGAGAAGGAAGGGGGGCCAGGAGGGAGGAGCAGGAGAAGTCAGACTCCCACCAAGGCCCAGGGTCACCCCATGATTCTAACTTACTTCATCTGGGGTAGGGCTAGGGCATCAGTATCATTTTTTTTAATGGTTCTTTTTTTTTTTGAGATGGAGTTTTGCACTTGTTGCCAAGGCTGGAGTGCAATGGCATCATCTTGGCTCACTGCAACCTCTGTCTCCCAGGTTCAAGCAATTCTCCTGCCTCAGCCTACTGAGTAGCTGGGATTATAGGCATGCACCACCACTAATTTTGTATTTTTAGTAGAGACAGCGTTTCTCCATGTTGGTCAGGCTGGTTTCGAACTCCCAACCTTAGGTGATCCACCCACCTCAGCCTCCCAAAGTGCTAGATTACAGGCATGAGCCATCACGCCAAGCCAGAATCATTTTTTTTAAAAAAAACTTTTTATTTGGCATCATACTTTTTTTTTAAGTCGGAGTCTCGCACTGTCGCCAGGCTGGAGTGCAGTGTCGCAATCTCGATTCATTGCAACCTCTACCTCCCAGGTTCAAGCAATTCTCCTGCCTCAACCTCCCGGGTAGCTGGGATTACAGGTGCTTGCTACCACGCCTGGCTAACTTTTTGTATTTTTAGTAGAGATGAGGTTTCACCATGTTAGCCAGGATGGTTTCAATCTCCTGACCTTGTGATCCACCCGCCTTGGCCTTCCAAAGTGCTGGGATTACAGGCATAAGCCACTGTGCCCGGCCTATGCATCCGTACTTTTAAAAGCTCTCCAGCTGAGCATGTTGTACAGCTGAGATTGAGAGTCCCGGGAATAGATAGTGAGATTCTGACCGGAAGCTGGAAGGAGGCTGGCCCTGTTTATGGGCTCACTGGGGTAGGGGCCTGGCTCAACTGGGCATCCGGAGATGTAGTGATCAGGGCAGCGGAGGAGGAAAGGAAGGAGGGTGCCAGGCTCACCATGGTGAAGTAGCAGGCAGCCCTATTGACATGCAGCTTGCACAGCAGCTCCCGGGGCAGGGCCACCTGGTCGGAGGCGGCGTAGTCAGCCACATTCAGCCCTTCCATGTACTGCACCAGGGCCTGCTTATAGTCCTTCTCCCGGAACAGATCATTGCCCTCAGCAAACAGATTCTGTACCAGCTTGAGCAGAAAGGCCTGTTGGGGGCAAGGTGTGTAGGCTCAGGACCTCATGAGCTCTGGCCCCAGCCCTGGCACCCGGCCCCAAGCCTCTCCCCTGGACATCTCTGCCCTTTGCCTTTGCTCAGCCTGGCAGCTGACACTCACCTCATATTCTTCTTGCTTTAGGGGTAGTGTCGACCTAGCAGGAAAAGAGAACACGAGGTCTGGGTGAGCCCAGTGGTCCCAGCTTCATGGAGATCCAGAGCTGCTCCTCCAACTCAGACCTCAGCCATCACCTTACAGACTAGGGTGAACAGACAGTGGTTTTCTTCCCCTAAATCACTACCATGCAGGCCTTCCAGGTCTGATGGAAGGACCTTCATTTTCCTTGGGGCCAGACAGCCAGGCTTTCCCAGGTACAGGTGCTGAGGAAGAAGAGACCAACCCCAGCCCCACCTTCAGCCTGACCCCAGCTCCAGCCCCACTTCCAACCCCAGCCCCAACCCCAACCCAACCAGCCCCAGCCCCAAGCCAGCCCTAGCCCAGCGCAGTTCCAGCTCTACCTCTAGCCCCAGACCCACTCCCGGCCCCACTCCCAGCCCCAGCCCCAATCCCAGCCCCACTCCTAGCCCCAGCCCCAGCCCCAGCCCCAGCCCCAGCCCCAGCCCCTGCTGGCTATCCTCTGCTGAAAAAACCAGCCCTCTCCTAAAGAAGAGCAGGCATTCCAAGCCCTTTCTCAGTTCCATGAGGGAAGGAGGGAGGAGACACGCTAGGGTCTAGGAGGCCCCCAGGACTAGAAAAGGACAAGAAGAGGAAAATCACACTCTGGCCCAGGCAGGGCAGGGGAAGGCTCCAGTAGCAGCTCAAGGCCAGGAGGGAGAGGATGGCGCAGGAGCTGCTGTAGCAGGAGTGGCAGGGACAGGAGCAGGCAGGAAAAGACAGGAAGCATGAGCGTTGTCAGGGAATCAACATCTAGCATAGGCCCTGGGAAGGACCACGCCCCATCAAACCTAACCCAAGACCACAGGCCCACAGACACTGAGGCATGGGGAGTCTACCTCAGGCCCCTCCCCTGTCCACTCCCACATAACACACACGCCCCCAGCCAATGCTAGGTCTTCAGCAAGCCTGTCAGCCCCTCATGCTGGACTCAACAAATCATTCTAGGTGTGAAAGAGGGTGTCAGCCAGGAGAACTGAGATTCATCTCTCCAATGGGCTCAATGGCCAGGCTGGAAGGGAAGCTGGGCTTTGTCTCTTGGCCCCTCATTCCACAAAGGAAAAAACAGACACTCAAGAGTGGCACAGGGACTTGCCCAAGGCCATGCAGCAGGAAGGCATCGGAGGCAGAGCTGGGGGTATCTTTCCATTGCCTGGAAATGCCAGCCGCCAACACCTAGGCAGGAAAGAGCGGCCTTGGCTAGTGCACAAGAGGTGGGCAGAGGCGTGGCGCCAGGAGGTCTCTGTGTGCACGTGTGTGTGGAAGGCATCCCCATTTGTGACACTGAGGCTCACCAGCCCGCCTCTCACTTGCCTCTCCATGGCTGGACCCCAGCCCTGCGCTCCCACGCTATACTACTGCAGTGTCCATCCCCTCTGCTGCCCCTACGGGGACTCCATCACTGCCCTCCTGGCCTCCTACCTTCAGCCTCCCCTCTTCCAGCACTGGCTCCACATGTAATAAGTCATGCCTGGTCCTAAGATATCTTAAGGTCCTCTGCAAGCTGGGACCAACCCACCTGTCCCAATTCACTTATGCTCTGAGTGTGCTGTGCTAAGCACACGAAGCACACATGTACCAACATAGTGTAGCAGGAATGGGGCCAAAACAGTGGGACTGATGTGAAAAGCAGCAAGTCCCAATGTGCTTCCTACAAAGCCTTAGGAGGCCAACGGATGGGTTCGGGGAGGCTGCCCTGTTGCTGGGCCTTCTTAGAACTCCCCTTTGGAAAGGAGGAGGTGACAAGAGCGAACATTCACCCCAAGTACCACCTGGCCTCTTAACCCTCACAATGATTCTGTAGGGGAAGTGGGATAACTGGGTTGGGGACCCAGCTCTGCAGAATTCAGTGACTGAGGCTGGGGACACAGAACTCTTCTTACAGAAGATAGCAGTGGTTGAAGTCACCTTGTTCAGCAGACTGGCCCCTAATAAACTTGAATGCTTCCCCAAAATCAAACCCTTGCTCCCCAAAATGGGAGAGGATCAGCCGCCCATGAACAGAGATGAGCTGGCAGCAGCTCTGATGACCGAGCCTGAGGAGGGTTTGCAAACTCCCAGCCATGGCAGAAGGTGGGATTGGCCAACAGCCCAGGGAAGGGATGCTACACTTGGGGCCATGCTCGAGGTGCTCCCCGATCACCTAATCAAATTGGCCCAGCACCGGACACCCTCTGGAAGCAGCCAGGAAAGTGACTGCACTATGGGCTGAGGAAGGAAAGCATGTTGTCAATATGAATACTCACTCTGTGAGAGCAGCATGGATACCAAGGGCATGTGAAAAGGGATACAGTCTGTGGTGACGTGGGTGAGAAAAGGCAAGGGGGTACTCTGGGCACAACTGCACGCACCTGCAATCCCGCTATTTGGGAGGTTGGGGTAGGAAAACTGCTTGAGCCCAGCAGTTTGAGACCTGCCTGGGCAACACAGGGACACTCCATTGAAAAGAAAAGAAAAGGCAAGGAGTAGCCAGGTGCCGTGGCTCATGCCTGTAATCCCAACACTTTGGGAGGCCGAGGTGGGTGGATCACAAGGTCAAGAGATCGAGACCATCCTGGTCAACATGGTGAAACCCCGTCTCTACTAAAAATACAAAAAATTAGCTGGGCATGGTGGTGCGTGCTTGTAATCCCAGCTACTCAGGAGGCTGAGGCAGGAGAATTGCCTGAACCCAGGAGGCGGAGATTGCGGTGAGCCGAGATCACGCCATTGCACTCCAGTCTGGGTAACAACAGCGAAACTCCATCTCAAAAAAAAAAAAAAAAAAAAAAATTTGCCAGGCGTAGACACCTGTAATCCCAGAACTTTGGGAGGCCGAGGTTGGTGGATCACCTAAGGTCAGAAGTTTGAGACCAGCCTGGCCAACATGGTGAAACCCCGCCTCTATTACAAAAAAAAATTAGCCGGGCGTGGTGGCACACACCTGTAATCCCAGCTACTTGGGAGGCTGAAGCAGGAATCGCTTGAATCTGGGAGACAGAGGTTGCGGTGAGCCGAGAGGATGCCATTGCACTCTAGCCTGGGTGACAGAGTGAGACTCTGTTTCAAAAAAATTAAAAAAAGAAAAGGCAAGGAGTGTTTTATAGGTTTGTGTGGGAACAAAAATGGGGAGTATATAAGGGTATACAGAGGCAAATTCCAGTTTTATGGGGAGCCCTATTTAAGAAAAAAACCACGAAATTATGAACACAGGATTGTAAGAGTGCATGCCTTCCAGGGCCTCGGAAGGGGCCTGTGCAAGTGAGAGGCAACAGTGCCTATTCTTCATTAGTGTTGTGATAAATATGTCTCTGAGAATCTATTCAAGAGGAATAAGAAAAAAGGTTACTCAAAATATTCTGCCAGGCGCGGTGGCTCAAGCCTGTAATCCCAGCACTTTGGGAGGCTGAGGCGGGTGGATCACGAGGTCAAGAGATCAAGACCGTCCTGGTCAACATGGCGAAACCCTGTCTCTACTAAAAATACAAAAAATTAGCTGGGCGTGGTGGCACACGCTGCAGTCCTAGCTAGTCAGGAGGATGAGGTAGGAGAATCACTTGAACTTGGGTGATGGAGGTTGCAGTGAGCCGAGATTGTGCCACTGCACTCCAGCCTGGGCGACAGAGCGAGACTCCATCTCAAAAAAAACACCAAAAAAATGTAAGTTTTGGAGTCAGCCAGGCCTGGGCTAGAATGCTATTCCTCAATAGCTCCGTGACTTTAAACAAGTTGCTTAACTTCTCTGAGCCTCAGCTGCAAAATGGAAATAAGGCTACCTACTTTACTGGGCTGTTGTGAAGATTAAATAGGTGATGGATGGGCCGGGCACAGTGGCTCATGTCTGTAATCCCAGCACTTTGGGAGGCTGAGGCAGGAGGATCACCTGAGCCCAGGAGTTTGAGACCAGCCTGGGCAGCATGACAAGACCCTCTCTCTAAAAAAAAATTTTTTAATTGGCCTGGTGCAGTGGCTCACGCCTGTAATCCCAGCACTTTGGGAGGTCGAGTCAGCTTGGCCAACATGGCGAAATCCTATCTCTACTAAAAATACAAAAATTAGCCTGGAATGGCGGCACATGCCTGTAATCCCAAGGTACTCGAGAGGCTGAGGCAGGAGAATTGTTTGAACCTGGGAGGCAGAGGTTACAGGGAGTCAAGATAATGCCACTGCACTCCAGCCTGGGTGACAGAACAAGACTTTGTCTCAAAAAACAAAAAAATTAGCTGGGTGTGGTGGTGTGCACCTATGGCCTCAACTACAAGAAAGGTGGAGGCAGGAGGACTGCTTGAGCCCAGGAAGTCAGGAGCACCACTGCACTCCAACTAGGGCAACATGGAGAGTCTGTCTCAAAGAAGACACAGGTGTGAAGGTTTCAGCACAGAGACTGAGATTGTAAATGCTCCATAGCAGGGACTATTGATTTATCAGAAGACTCGTGCAGCCATGCAAGAGAATTAACAGGGAGTGCAAATGTGAAGGGTGAGGGTAGAATTATCTACTGGACAAGACCAAAGGGTAACCAGGGCCAGGGACCGTGTGTGTATGTAGAGTTCACACCCCGACCACGCCAGTTCTGTCCTGGCTCCTCCCACCTCCCCACACCCAGCGCACACAGGAGCCTTGGCAGTAAAGACTCAGCAGAAGAAAAGGTAGCGCTGGGAGGGCATGGCTCTCAGAGACTCCACACCTGCCCTCCCAGCCGCCCCGCCCAGCCCAGACCGTGTGCAGGCTTACTGAATGAACTGCAGCCCCTTCTCGATGTCCGCCTTCCGTTTCTGTCTCTCCATCAGTCTCTGGGGGAAAGAACACAGTCCATCACTTGGTCAGCAAGAGCAGGGTTGCCATCTGCCACCCCAACTTTACGGGGCCTGTGATTGGGTGCTCTTACTCCCACTCTCATTCCCTTTCCCAGGTTGGGAAAGGAGTCCCTGAGGGTGACGACCATCCTGAGAGCGATGACCACCCTGAGGGCACTATCCTCCATACCCACAGCCCCTGGACTCTGAGACTGAGTGGTGCCCTCAAGGAACAAGGTGCATAGAGTCCACCTGCTCTTTCCCACACAGTACTGAGCTACAATACTGCATGGGACACCCTCAAGTTCAAGGAAAAGCTTATTTTTTATTTTATTTTTTTTGCTCTTGTTACCCAGGCTGGAGTGCAATGGCGCGATCTCAGCTCACCGCAACCTCCGCCTCCTGGGTTCAGGCAATTCTCCTGCCTCAGCCTCTTGAGTAGCTGGGATTACAGGCATGTGCCACCATGCCCAGCTAATTTTTTGTATTTTTAGTAGAGACGGGGTTTCACCATGTTGACCAGGATGGTCTCAATCTCTTGACCTCGTGATCCACCCGCCTCGGCCTCCCAAAGTGCTGGGATTACAGGCTTGAGCCACCGCGCCCGGCCAGGAAAAGCTTTTTTTTTTTTTTATCCAGGCTGGAGTGCAGTGGCCAGTGGTGTGATCTTGGCTCACTGCAACCTCCATTTCCGGGTTCAAGTGATCCTCCTGCATCAGCCTCCTGAGTAGCTGGGATTACACCACCACCACCACGCCTGGCTTTTTTTTTTTTTTTTTTTTTTACCAAGGAGGAAACAAGTTCAGGGAGCCCCGTCTATGAGCTGGCATATGGCGGAGGCAGGATTTGAACCCCAGGACATGCTTCCTTTTACATGCACTGGCAGCCCCTCTGTGTATGGCTGATTGTTGAGGGGAAACCCCATAAGTGCCGAGGCAGGAGTCAGAAGCCTCAGCCTATTCCCATATAAATAATGAAGAAGAAAATAACTAGAGATATAACCATAGTAGTTATTCATAGGTGATCTTAGTCATTCATATGTGATCTTAGTTATTCATATATGATCTTAGTTATTCATAGGTGATCTTAGTTCTTTTACTAATGCCTCTCAGGTCTGGAAGTGTGAACCTGGGGTGACATTATGAAAGGAATGACCCAAGATGCTTTAAGCCCTCTGTCATGCCTGTGTAGGAACTGCCGGAGGGCGCTGCTGGATAGCACCTATGCTGCAGCACCATTTAGCAAGCTGCAGAAGGAGATGTCAGAGAGGTCTCCTTCCCCAGAGGACGGAGGAGTTAGGAGAAAACTCCATTCCTCCAAGTTCTTGTGGTAGGCCTGATGGCTGTCAGGGAGCCCCACAGACATCTGGGGGCTTAATTGTCTCTCTGTGATGCTGTGCTTCAGCAGTCACATTCCATGTCCACTCTCATGTTCCGCTTCTGCACCTGGTTCCTTTTTTCTTAGAAGAGATAATCAGTAAAAGTAATATAAATCTTAATGTCTTTGTTCTTTCTTGACAAGTATGGAAAAGTGCTGATGCATTATGCTCCTTACCTCATCTTGACTACTAGAAAGCCTTGGGCCCCTACCTATACAACACGTGATGTACTTGACCCTATCACTGACCACCAATGCCACGTCCTACCTACCCTGCCCCCAGCTTTGTACTCAATAAAAGTCAGAGTGTGCGGATACTCGGGGCCACTGCCGGACTCCATGCTTTGGTTAGCAGTGGACCCCTGGGTGGAAACTCTCCTTTCTCTATCTGTGTCTTGTGTCTTTTATTTCTACAGTTTCTCATCTCCACACCAGCAGAGAGGGGCTCTAAGGACCCTGTAAGGCTAGACCTTTCAGCTGATGGCCCTGGCGATGTCTGCAGGGAGGAATGCCACGCAGCAGATGCCACAGTGCACACATGTCACCTGCACTCAGGCAGAACGGGAAGCCTGGCCCAGAGAAGGCCTCCAGACCTGGGGGCCATCTCAGCTTCCTCCCTCTTTCCACAGCCCATCTTCTGGCTGGTCAGTCCTTGCCATTTAGTCCACAAGGGGCCTGGGCTAGACCAGTTTTGGGGATGCCAGAGGTGATTCTGACATAGTCGCTGCCTGGAGGGAGCTTTCAGTCCAATAGATAAAGCAGCCCTTGAATTGGTCAGGCCTTGACATGTGCCCACCACACATCTGTTGGCCTTGGAAGGCCTTGGTTCAGGGCTCTGGACCCAGAGAGGCCTGGGCGTGAAGCCAAGTGCTCACACTCATGGTGTGAATTTGGGCCTCTGTCTCCTACCGAGAAAGTAAGGCTAACAGCAGCTCTTGCTGCATCAGCCATGCTGAGAGTTCAGGAGCCACCATGGACAGGGTGCCCAGCACAGATCAACAGTCCCACAGTCACAGGAAAATGCGTCACCAAACACTGCTCTGCCCCTTAGAAAAAGCTCTGCAGGCTGGGTGCGGTGGCTCAAGCCTGTAATCCCAGCACTTTGGGAGGCTGAGGCGGGTGGATCACAAGGTCAAGAGATCGAGACCATCCTGGTCAACATGGTGAAACCCCGTCTCTACTAAAAATACAAAAAATTAGCTGGGCATGGTGGCACATGCCTGTAATCCCAGCTACTCAGGAGGCTGAGGCAGGAGAATTGCCTGAACCCAGGAGGCGGAGGTTGCGGTGAGCTGAGATCGCGCCATTGCACTCCAGCCTGGGCAACAAGAGCTTAACTCCGTCTCAAAAAAAAAAAAAAAAAAAAAAAAAAAGAAAGCTCTGCAAGCATTCCCTGGGATGGACATGACTACTGTGACCCCATCCTAGTACAGGAAGCTAGCAGTTGTGGCCCTTGGCTGCCCACTCCCTGCCCAGCAGGCCTCTGGGTTAGTCTCTCTGTCCTCGGCTCCCCTGTTTGTGAAACTAGCCCTCATCTTCCCCATACCAGACTCCAGGCCCAGGCTCCAACAGGCTGCTGGTGGTCTTCCTGCCTCCTGGCCTTCGCTCTCATGGTTCCTTCCACCAATGCAGCAGGCTCCGCTCCACCCTTGAGTGAAATCCCACCACCCTGCAGAGCCTAACCCCTGCACCTAGTCTCTCCTGATCTCATTAACTGAACCCATGGGACACTCATTTGTCCAATGTTTACTGGGAGCTGGGGAGCCACGGGTGGGGGCAGTGGTCAGTCCCTGACCTGGAAGAGCACTGATCTCACAGGGGAGGTGAGGATGCACCCAGTTACCACACAGCACAGTCCCGCACAAACTGGGGAAGTGGCGGGAGGGGAGAAGGCCCCTATGCACCTGACTGCCAGCACCATAGCACACAGCCATGGCCAGTGGCCACCAAACCCTCCCATGTTGACCTGGGTCACAATCCCACACCGCCTACCACCACCTGCGGTGGCTGTCTATCCCAGATGACTGGACCAGCCTCCTCACAGCCCTGCCAACCTCAAGTATAGCATGGGGGTCTTACAAAACTCTGCTGCCCGGAGCCTCTGATGATTCACTTCACCCGAATCTCTGCTGGCACCCACAGCGGCTTATGCCACAAGGAGAAATGGCCCCATTACCCTCTCAGGCCCTGTTCAGCCCCATGGCTCTCCCATAAATCCACAGTGGTCAGAGAGAAACACTGCCACATCTGTCCTCCAGCCCTAGAGTCTGAGAAGACTTAACAGTTACCAACACTGGGCCAGGCGCAGTGGCTCACACCTGTAATCCCAGCACTTTGGGAGGCCGAGGCGAGTGGATCACAAGGTCAGGAATTCAAGACCAGCCTGGCTAAGATGGTGAAACCCTGCCTCTACTAAAAATACAAAAAAAAATTAGTCAGGCATGGTGGCGCGTGCCTGTAATCTCAGCTACTCAGGAGGCTGAGGCAGGAATTGCTTGAACCCGGGAGGCGAAGGGTGCAGTGAGCCGAGATTGTGCTACTGCACTCCAGCCTGGGTGACAGAGTAAGACTCTGTCTCCAAAAAAAAAAGTTACCAATATTGCCATAGCCACTCTGAGCAGTAAAGTCCACAAGGCCTGAAGCCTGTGCCAGGGAATAAACGTTCGCTGCTCCTGATGGTGCGAATGCTTCTCACACAGCCTGGCCATTTATTCACCTCTCTGATCCCCCAGCTGACTGGCTGAATGACCCTCCACACGTTCCTCTGTCTCTCTCTTTTTTTTTTTTTTTTTTGAGACAGAGTTTTGCTCTTGTTACCCAGGCTGGAGTGCAATGGCGCGATCTCGGCTCACCGCAACCTCCACCTCCTGGGTTCAGGCAATTCTCCTGCCTCAGCCTCCTGAGTAGCTGGGATTACAGGCACGTGCCACCATGCCCAGCTAATTTTTTGTATTTTTTAGTGCAGACGGGGTTTCACCATGTTGACCAGGATGGTCTCAATCTCTTGACCCCGTGATCCACCCGCCTCGGCCTCCCAAAGTGCTGGGATTACAGGTGTGAGCCACCGCGCCCGGCCTCGTCTGTCTCTCTAAGTTACAGTTTCCTGCTCTGCAACACAGCGGGGACACAGGGTGCTCTTGGCCAGGATTAACACATAGGAGGTGCTCATTTCAGGGCCTAGGACACAGCAGGCACTTAATAAATGGTGGCTATTAGTACCTCAGAATCCCCATGCTGGACATTCAATCTGACATTTGATATATGTCCACTACACGCAGATGAGAAAGTTGGGCTTCCTGCTTCCTGGCCAGACCTCACAATCTAGTCAGAGACATGGACAGATATTCCAATAGCTCCATCCCAAACCAGACTTCTGTAGTAAACACAGGCTGGGAGGAGGCACAAAGAAAGTGGAAGCTCCTCAAAGGGGGCAACATTTAAATTGAGCTTCAAGGGATGAATAGGAGTTGGTTTACTGGTGTCAGGGTGGGGAAGCCTTCTGGAAGTCTACATGTGACAGTTTACGAAATCACTATCATCCCCTGCATTTCATCCAATCCCAACTGATGACCCTGAGGACTGGGCCACAATGAGACCACATTTGAGAGATGAGGAAAATG